TTCACGTCAAATACCCATGCATTCGAAGCTCTACATATGAAGCCAAAGACCCAAGACCCAATAGCATATAGACATTCTCGGATTGTGAAGTGGTCGTCTACAACCGCGATAGATAGTGTACCCGTGTACGTAGAATCAAGGCCGTTTTCATGGCAAATGTGTAATTATACATCCGTGGCCTCTTTCTCTTTCTCGAAGTTGCACCCCTGCTTCCACGGCACCTCCCCAGCCCTAACAACAGTCTCGAACCCACCAGCCAACTCACCAGCCCCAAACTCCTCCCCATTCACATCCTCGCCCCAAGGCAGTGCATCCACATCGACCTCCCACCCAAGTAAACACCTAAGAATCACCCCGGCGCCAGCCTTACTCATAACCTGGTTCATCTCCTTGCACCGCTCATCGCAAACACACTCCACACACCCCTGTGGCGAAAGACACACACAGGTCTCAATCCGTGCCACGGCACGGCGCAAAAGCAACCCGATAAACTCAAACGCCTTACTCGCAATGCCAGAACCACAGGCCCCGCCCTTCGCATCGTAAAATGTCAGCCTAGCAGGTCGTTGCCTCTTAGGTGGCTGCACAGTCCGCTCCATCTCCTCCTTCGACATCAACGCGTCATTCGCACGACGGAGTCCGCGACCAAGCTCCTTCTTGGCCACTTTACATTCCGTGCGGACGTCACCGGGCGATGATATTACGAAAGATGGCAAAAGAGATAAGACGGCATGCTCAGCAGCGTGAATAGCAGCCGCGATATTGAGACGGTGAGATTCCAGAATTGTAATTGCGCGACCAGGCACATCAAGCCACATACCCTTTGTCAGGAGGTCGATGGGTGGATTATCGACAGCGACGGCATCGAGGACGCGACCGCGCTTGTCAATTTTGAAGAATCCGTAGACCACGGCGTGGATTTGGATGGCGCCGAAGAATGCACGGCATGCGTCTTTACCGGGGCCCACTAGACGCATGGATTCGGTTTCTATGGGGTCGATATCTGTGAAGTCGCGTTGCATTGTGCTCCAGTCTACGTGGACGCGGACGACGCGGGCGAAGTATTGGGATGTATTCAGTTCTCGGACGAGGTATGTTTGGCCTTGGTGGAGGAAAATGCCACCTTCGTAGATTGTGAAGAAGGCGCGTGAGGCTTCGACTTCTTCGAGGACGACGTTGCGGTTGTTGGTTATGTCGATAACAGCGAAGTGTTGATCTTCTGTGTCGCGGATTGAGACGCAGCGGGAGGGTTGGGGTCGGAAGCGGTCGTGGCAGTGGTAGAAGCCCATGCTATCTTTTATGAGGCGGGTTGGGGCGAGGGCGAAGAGTTGTTCGGTGAAGTAGATGTGGTCTTCATCTGGGCGGATTGGTGCTTCGAATGCTGCGCATTGGACGTGGCCTTCTAGGATGAGCTCGTTGGCTAGGTCGATTTGCAGCTCGCAATTTGGTTTGGTGAATATCTCGTCTGGGTTCTTCATGTAGTGCTGGTCTGTTGGGTACCTGTCCCCAACCAAGACAGACAGAGAGTCTTTGTTGCGGCGTCCAGCCCGGCCGCTCTGTTGACGCAAGTTGGAGATCGAGAAGGGGAATCCCATAGTGATGACAGCATCCAGAGATCCAATATCAACACCGAGCTCCAAAGCATTTGTCGCGACGATTCCCATCAGCTTCCCTTCGAACATTTCTTTCTCTATCCGTCGCCGATCTTGGGGACTGTATCCACCACGATATCCCATTACCATGTTGCCAACCTCTGGACGTTCTAGACCTTTGAACTCATTTCGCACGGCCTGAAGGAGGACCTCGCATAGCTTTCTGATCCTGCAGAAAGCAATCACTCTTACTCCTCGTAAGAGTAATTGGCAGAACAAACGTGCAGTCTCAGCGACACTATCGGCACGCCCAGAAGTTGGGTCTGCAGGGTCTTTGAAGGGTGTGTTCCAGCAAATGAATTCCTTGCGACCTGATGGGGATCCGTCGAAATCAATCAGCTTTACATCTGAAATTCCAAAGATGGACTTCATATGGTTCTCTGGGTTTGCAACTGTGGCTGAGCAGGATATGAATTTGACATGCCTATTGCCCACTGCGGCGCAAATCCTGCGAAGTCTTCGCATGATAAAGGCAACGTGAGAGCCGAATAAGCCATTGTAGACATGGAGCTCATCGACGACCACGAATTTCAGATTCTTCAAAAATGTGCGCCAGGCACTTTCCTGTGGCAGAATTGTGATGTGAAGCATGTCTGGGTTGGTAAATATGATTCGCGCTTCATCTCGAATGAGGTTCCGGCTTCCCATGGGCGTGTCACCGTCAAAGGTTTCGACCATTGTATGCTGTAAGCCATCCATATACTGTAGTAAATCCATCATGCTGCGCCTCTGGTCTTGTGCCAAGGCTTTTGTGGGGAAGATGTACATTCCTCTGCTTTCATGATCCTTTTCCAGCTCGTGAAGCATCGGGACTTGATAAATTAATGACTTGCCGGAACTGGTCGAGGTCGAAACAATCACGTTATGGCCCTCATACAAATGATTGATCGCTTCTGCTTGGTGCGAATAGAGTTGGGTGATACCTTTTGTGTTGTAAAGAGCATTGACAAGATCCTGGGATAGCTGGAACGACAAATCGCCATAGATGGGAGCTTGAGCATCGAATACCCGATGTCCGTCAGGTACGATCTGGGCATGATACCAATCCATCTCACGAATCTCCGCAATGATTTCCGCAATCGATTTTCGTTCCTTGGGGATAGTTGTCGGTACTTTTACGACAGCCGGTGTATTTGTTCCACTTCCAGGGGGCGTAGGCAAAAGCATGTCCTTTTCCTGTTCCAAAACCAGCACCGGGTCGATGGCTTGGTCTTCACACCGGATCAGAAATGTGTCTATGGCATCTGAAAATTTGTTGTTGCGCTTCTCAATCAAATTCAACATCTGCTTCTGGCTGTAGACCGGCATTTTCAAATCTTCATCCTTCATGCGGCGTACAGGTTTAGATGGCTCTCCAGTTTTGGGATGCTTCACTTCTCGCTTGAGATCCCCGTCAACAAACTCGAATAGTAGAACATCCTTTCTGCATGCTGAGCGATCGCCCAAATTTGCCTGCAGCTCATCGGCCGATGTCGACAGGCTATGTCCCTTATGCAACCCATACTCAATGGTTTCTTTGTCTCCGACTGTCATAACCTCCAAGCTTGCTTCGTCCACGTATTCGAATCGCACTGCTCGGGGGACTAGGACCTTCACCCTTGCCACATCTTCGACTGTGAGTTCACGCCCTTCGCCCAGCTGAGACTGGACGGCTTTCTTTATATTCTCAAAAGTCGTCGCAAAGTGTTTTCGCGTGCAACAGAAGGTATACACGAGGTTCAGAGCTCGATGAATCTGCGCCAGTCGCTTCAACTCGTCCGGCCATGGGCTGGATGGTGTTCGCTTTTTTGGCGCTTTGGGACGATCAGTTGCACCTGCTGACTTCTTTCCCGGTCCTGAAACTTTCTTATTGCTCCGAGGTTGCTCGGGTGTCTTTTCATCCGCTGTATAGGTGAGGGAGGCGTTTGCGGTCGCGAGGGTAGGGTCAAGAGGGGACGCGTTTGAGGATGGCGTCGTCGCAGGATCAGAAGTTGAGGGATGGCCTTCATGTCTCTGTTTTCGCTTCAGTATATTTACAGCTGCGACTGAAGGTGAATCCGCCATGTCGATGACCCATCGCGGGGTTCCATTTGGCATTTGAGTCCGATGATGTCGCCGGTTGAAAGCTGGAAACGCGAAGTCACGTGTATCCATCGATATAACCCTGTTGGGAAAGTGATGTAAATCGGTTGAAATGTTCGTTGTAATAGTGAATTTGGGAATGAATTTGGGAAACTGAAGTTACTTCTAGCTCATTATAGCTCAATATACTGACCTTTCTGCCTGATTGTGAGAGTTGTACATACTGGAGTCCCTAAGAGAGATAAGGGAGGTATAACTATCGCGTAGAGGTTATCTTGATATGTACCTTTGGCATGTCAGTTGTTAGGCTAACGCCCGGCGTAGCTAATTTCATTCATTCCAGAACTATATTCAGAAATATGTCGAACACTATGTGTAAGTCTATTAGCATATCTTAAGTAACAGAACCCACTGCCTTTCTAAATTCCCATCAAATATTCCTCATTTTCCATGTACATTTTGTTGTGAAACTGGCAGTGATAAATATTGATTAGCTAGTAGGTGTTTTATCATACTTATCAAAAACGGGGAGGAATTGAATTGGAATATCTGGGTGGCTGGTTGTGGAATTTGTCTGCTAGCGGATTGGTTCCAGGCCATTACAAACAGACACCTACCTATTTTGATCGGAAGCTCACATAGGAGGAAACAGATCTAATATTGAGCGATAAGCGACGGCTAGATGAACATAGTACAATCAAGATGTTTGATGGTGTTGCTCTTTACTAGACGGCATGGCGATCGGTCGATACGCAGGCGCGTTATTGTGCGTATTGCTATGCTCCATACATCTGAGCATCTCTTAGGGAATTATTAGTCTAAACACTCACTGGGGCCCTGCTGTTCTTCAGCCTGACCAAGAAGATAATGCAAATGAGCACAAACACCTCGTTACACTCGTTCTTCTAAATCTCTTTCGGGTCAATTCTATACATGTCTTCTAAGACCTCCTTCTATTCGTTTTTAATCTGATCTGTTTTTCAAACGACTCAAAAAATACAACTAGACAGATAAGTCATCGCCACCTATTCTGTCTCGTTCAAGGTATCTCCTTGGTCAGGCTGTAGGTTCCTTAGCGCTTGTTGTGTTGTTTATTCGCTGCGGGGCCGAGCGGTGAAAGCACAAGTGACGAGTGACGAGGGCATACCCTGGCCCTGACATATTCCTCTCTTTCCATCTTCCTCCTTGACCTCTTCCAGCTGGTCTAGATCATACCAATCTTGTTTAGTCCTTACATCATATCCATCCAAAGTCTGTGGGCATCAAACAACCCCCGCAACACTAGCAATGGAGTCACCGCGCTCCGACGACGGCGGTGAGCGCCCGGTCCGCAAGCAACTCTCCAAAGCCACGATTGATTCCACCCCGCAAGATTCGACCCAGGAAAATACTAGTGGTCGCAAGCGATCCTTCGAAGAGTCCCGCGACGCCGCGGAATACCATACCGAAGACGGCCAGATCAGGAAGAAGCGATCACGAGAGGGCACTCCGAACTCGCCCGAGCAGAAGCAGGCCGGCAGCAAGGACGAAAGTGCTGGTCCCCAGGAAGTAGGCAACCCCATACCCTCCATTTCCCGCACAGTTTCCTCGAGTCCGAGGAGCAGAACATTCTTGATCACTCTAAGAAGTCTCCCGGGCCCCATCAAGCCGATGACCTCCCTGAATGCGACGGATACCCGTGGACTAAGGTCCTAGAGGAGCGCGAAATGCTCTCCGGGCGGCTTTGGCACGAGGTACTGCATCATGGCAAGCTCCTCAGATACTATGAGAACTGCTATGGGGAGTATGTAGACGGTTTCAACGCTTCGAAGCATGCGCTCAAGCTCCAGGAGAAGATAATGGACAAACGTGAGCAGTCGGCTGCCCAGCGCGAAGAGATGGCTATGTGTCGGGAGAAGGCAGCTGCCATTCATGAAAAATTCGTCCAAAACCGCGAAAAGAAGGTACAAAGGCGTGAGCATGAGCCATTGAACGAAACCGTCACCGTCAATTTCGCGGGCACCCCCTCACCCGAACACTGGGAGACTTCTGCCAGCGAGAACAATTCTGAATCTCAAGGCAACTGGGACTGGGAGTCTCAATATGAACATGAAGAAAAAATCCTTGACGAACATGGTTAACGATAAAATTTCCTAACTCCAGGATTCACCCGCGACCAAACAAACCCCCACCTCTACGACAACCGCCACGATGCCGTCCGACGATCACCCCACGCAGGTTCTTAAGAAGAAGCGGAGCCGAGAACAACTTGATTTGAACTCTTCGGTCGATTCCAAGGCCGCGGCCAAATCAGCACAGAATTCTGCTCCGGTCGAGCCTTCTGAGGAGAAGTCGACCGACGCGAAAGAGCCGGAGAAGAAGCGTCACCGGGATGGCTCGCAGGAGCAAGAGACCAAGACTGACAAAGTTAGCTCACATTGCTCTCTTCACGTGAATTTTCGATCACTGACCATTTTTCGTCTCAGGGTTTCGCGGGGAGTGCGTTTGCGACATCCTCACTTGCTGCATTCGCTGGTTCTGACAAGTCCCCCTTTGGCTCGATTGGAACATCGACACCATCTGTTTTCAAGCCCGCCGACTCTGGGATGACAAGTTTCGCTTCACCCTCTGGAGGTTCCGGCTTTGGTTCCTTTGGCGGTGGCTTCTCTGGTGTCGGTGGCGGATTCTCAGCAGCAGCAAAGACCAGTGGCCTCACCAGCTTTGCCTCTCCCAGTGCCCCTGCTACTTTTGGTGAAACCAAACCCTCGGCGCTTGGCGAGTCCAAAGCTTCAACGCTCGGTGCCGAAGATTCCAAGGATCAGGACGAGGAGAGCGACAAGGACGACGGCGAAGAGGAAGACAACAGCACTTTTGAGGCTGAGAAGACCGATGAGCGCTTCTACGAACAAACCAGTATGAAATCTCTCTTTGTTGACCCCCGAAATCACCCTCTAATCATCCGAACAGTGGAAACTGGCGAGGAAGAGGAAATTACCTACTTCTCATCCAGGTCCAAGTTGTTTCACTTCTTGGACGGCGAGTGGAAGGAGCGCGGTATTGGTACCTTCAAGCTGAACGGCCGCAAGAGCTCCACCGACCCTGAAAAGATATTCTCCCGCATGATCATGCGCGCCGACGGCAACATGCGTGTCATGCTGAACAGCTCTCTCTTCCGTGGCATGAACTACGGAGATTCCAAGAACGAATGCCCGACCACCAAGCAAATTCTCCTGGCCGGTCTTGAAAATGGCCGAACTTTTCCTCTCATGTTACGCGTAAGTCACTCGACTCGTCAATCGTTCTCCACGCAGGTTCTTAACACCCTTCACAGTTCTCCAGCGTGGAAACAGCCGAGAAGCTCTGGACGGAAATCGGAAAGTGCATCAAGAACCTACCGGGCGATGATGGAGAGGAAAGCTAGATGATACAATTTCAGTCATATGGAAGACAGTACACTGGAGGGTTCGGAGCATATGGAGTTTACGCATTCACCACGAGTGAGCGATTTCTGATTATTAGCGATGACGAATCTCGTCTGTTTGAGTAATCATACTTGATTTCGCGATCCTACTTTGACCATAATAATGAGGCTTTAGTCTTGGATGTACCAGCACCCGTTGTGGCAGCAATAACACCAGGAAATAACCACATAGCACTGGGATCATCAGAGCCGCAAATGCCGATCCCATATTGATTTGGTCTTGGTCCCTAGTGATGTGACTGCTACATCCGATGTCGGCGCTATGTGCTTACATGGAGGCGCCGTGCGCCGTGCACTTGAAAGGCTGGACAATTTCGAACTTTACATTCCTCCAACCATATGCAGTTCAAGACGTTTGATCGCTAGACCGCACGCGAGCTCAGTATTGCTATCGCTGTGGTGCCGGGACGAGGCTATGTGGATTGGAAGACGCTTAATGGGCGATCGACTCCAATATTAGCGATAGAAAGTGGCGGATCTCATTCAAAGACACCGCATGCCTAGGCACTGATCTTAGCGCTAGCAAGATACATGGCTGGGATGATGCCGGTATGAAAGTATTATCATTTTGGAAATACATTGTACATTGAGAATTTAGAAAAGGAGATAGAAACATCACGCAACTACTTTTTGACAGCAACCACAAACAGACGTGGGTAACGAAGCAAAACTCGGCCATCAACAGACACTGGATACGCCCCTTGCAGACGCTTTAAATAATCCTGCAGGAATCCCTCCTTCTCCTCCGGACCCAGGGGATCTAGATAGGGTCTTAATCCAGTGCCCTTTACCCATTCAATAACAGCTTCATGACTTTCAAGGGCGTGGTAATAGCTTGTGTGGAAGATATCCACCCGGGAGCTAACAGGCTTGAGTACATCATAGATCTCCTGCGTTGTCTGGAAAGTATCTCTGCCCACCGTTGACAACGTAGCAGCCCAGGGCCCGTTCTCAGCGGTCTCCCGCATCAAGACATGAGAGGGTTCGGAGAGGTTGTCCGGAACTTGAAGAGCGAAAACACCGCCTGTTGGTTGGGTGGCCATTAATTTCTTGACGATCTCGAAGCGCTCGTCTTTCTTGAGCCACTGGAACACGGCATTGGAGTAGAACAAGTCGACTGGGCCTGGAGGAGAATAAGACGTCAGGTCTTCCACGGCGAATTCGCGGTGTGAGAGGGTGGCTTTGGCCTTGCGGATCATGTCCGGTGAAGAGTCAATTCCCTTTAACTGGGCGTCTGGGTAGCGGGACTCGAGGACTGCGGTGGAGTTTCCTGGTCCACAGCCTAGGTCGACAATGGTCTTTGGGGACTGGAGAGTAACTCGAGCGAGTAGATCGCGAGCTGGCTGGGTGCGTTCATCTTCAAACTTGAGGTATTGCGCGGCGCTCCAGTCGTGCGCGGGAGCTCCCGTAGACATGGCTCTGCAAGTTGATAATCCTGAGAAAGCCCGTTGAGAGAACTGGAATAGTCTTCTGGAGGATTGAATATGCGACATAACGATGTGAAGGTCGCAAGTGTATGTGGGACTAGAGACCCGTTGGTATTGGAACCGACCCGCTACTTAAGTAGCGCGTCTAGGGTCGGTCATCCGATGGGCCTAGCGGGATCCCCCAACAACGCCGCCAATGTCATATAGTCCATGGATGGCATACCTCCTGGACCGGCAGATGTTCTTTCCTACATTGCACGACGGGCAATCTCAAAAAGGGCCGATTTGTCGGAAATCGGAATCTCCGACTGGTCATCGAGCATGAAGCTCAATCAAAGTGCCGATAATCGGAAGTAACCGAAGTATGGAACTTGGATTCCATCATCGGAGTTGAGCCGAATGTAGGACCAAAAGCATGCAGGCTGATGTTTCTAAGCTCTCCCATTGACCATAATCCTGTCAAACTACTCTATCTAACAGCCTCCTTACTAACTCTCCTTGCGAGTCTCAATCTTGTCACCCCGATCACTTTGGCTTTCCCAGTTGGCACGAAGCCAGGAACTAACGTCCAGGGTAGTTGGAGACGTAACGCCATGTGCTCTTTGCAAAGGCAACTTCACATTTGCTTTGCATCGTCATGATTAAAAGCTGGAAAGAACATGGCTGCGAACGCAAGTGAAAATGGACTTCTTACGTTATTTGAACGAGCAAATGCAGAGAGCATCAAACACCCTGAATGACGATAGAGACAACTATATGGAAGTCGGCGAGATTCTCTGTTCGATGGCAACCTGGGGGAAGACGCGCATGTGCGGGTCATAGGCCATCGGGCCTGGAATTCACCAATATAGAATCTTCAGTGCTTCTATCCATCGCGTCAGCTGCCAGCCTACCGATCAAAGCCCCCGGAACCAATTACGACGTTCTTGGAATCATACTTGAATTGACTTCGGTTATGATTCGCTTCTCAGGCATTGATAAGGATGTATACAGGTATCCGTTGCAAGTGAACATGAGATATAGATATTCTGGAGGTAATTGGCTGGCATTCGACTCCAACAAGACTGGCCGAGGGACTTCCTCAGCCCCGGAGAGTACAAGATACCGCTCGTACTCTAACTAATGAAACAGAGACATCCAATCGAGATATAGAAGATGAAAAGAGGGTACACAGCAATGCCCACCCGGTTCCGAACAATCCCCGAGCCGCCCAAGATGCTGACACCTGCAGCCAACGACCATGCCACTAGGACAAGATAGACTGGTATTCTGGCGATTGTGGGAAGACCGACTGCGCTGAGAAGCGCAGCGATCACGAGTGGGAAGAGCGTGTAACCGATAATGCAGATCGACTGGAAGAAGGAGCTAGAGAGGGGTAATTTTAGTATAGCAATGCCAAGTACGGATTGAGAGACTTACATCTTGCCACCAAGAAGCTTGATCTGAAGAGTAACAGCCGCCTCTCCGATCCAAACAATACAGAAGACACCGGAGAAGACAAGCGATGACTGGTCTCCGTGAGCCATAGACAGGAACAAGCTCAGAACCAAACAGAAGATAAGTGGGCCCCTACGCCATTGTTAGTCCACAAACTAAGACCAGCTCCCAACGGCAGTAACATACCAAAGATCCCAATCGCGCAATCCCTCACTCATACCACCCTGCAGGACCACGTCGGCATCCGGCCAGCGACCTACGAACCCGCGCAGGTTGCGACCAAATCCAGTGGCCTCGCCTCTCTCGGCATCACTGATACCACCTCCACCGCGCTGCAAGATACCGCCCAGCAGATACTTGGGGTACAGCACCTGGCGCATCTTCTCCCACACGGCGATCAGGTCGCGCGACAGGGTCGCCCAGACGGTCTCATCGATGGTGTTTTGAGTGGAGCGGCGGTCTTCGCCAGGGATAGAGGAGGTCAGGTAGTTTCCATATCCGGAGCCGCGGCCTCTGGAGTTGGAGTCTTCAATGTTGCCTCGTAGAGGGGCTGTGTCGGAGGTGTCGTGCAGGGGGTCATCGGCTTCAATGTCTATCAGGTGAGTGGCTTGTTAGCAAGAAAGAGCCAAGACAAGCGACGGCGTTTATTAGAATTGTAGGGGAAACGGACCATGGTCGGCATCGATCAGGTCATCGTCCAGGAGCGACTCGTCGTCATGCAGGTCGATCTGGTGGCCGTGTTGTACGTTCGCCATGGTTTGGGAACTGTTCTTTGTTTGTTGACGCGAAATGAAAACGGGTTTACCGCAGGAGCATCGCCTCTTGAGGGAGGAGCAGAGTCACAACACCCAGAATATTGGAAGGAGGTTGAAGCAGTTGTTGATCAAGCTGTCCCGGAACGGCTAAGGCTAGAGTGGCACTTCGCATTGCGTGGGTCACCGCCTACCGTGAACCAGCTGTCTCATCCTTGAATGTTCATTGTTTAGATTCTAACACGATTCAATTATCAACTCAAGTTATCAATCTAACAATCTGGTGCCATAATGTGCAATGTCTAAACGGCTTCAGAACCCTCCACAAATGGTGCCTCCTCTTGGTACACATCATACTTAAACTTGCTGCCTGGATGGTCATCTCTAAGCTCCTTTTGGCCCTTCCCATACACCTTCTCCCGGAGAGCAAGCGGCTCATCCGATCGGTTCGAAGGCTCCGGGTAAAGCCCGCGCTTCCTCAACTCGGGAAGAACCAGGTCAATTAAATCCTCAAAGGTCCCTGGCGTGGTCACATAGCCAATATTGAATCCATCGAGATCCGCCTCGCGGATCCAGCGCTCCATCTCGTCGGCAACAGTAGCAGGGCTTCCAATGGCAACGGGTCCAAGACCGCCAATGGCGGCCTTTTCAGCCACAATCCGGGGCGTCCATTTGGGGACATCTTTGCTGGTCTTCAGCAAGGAGTCTAGGAGACTGGTCACCTTCCCGGCCTCTAGGGAATCGGCAGCCGTGATCTCTTGATCCAGTGGGATCTTTGAGATATCAATGCCCGTCCATCCACTAAATAGAACCAGACCACCGATCACGGATGCATATTTCTTGAGCTCCTCGTACTTCTCCCAAGCTTCCTCGTCGGTTCTACCCACGATGGGTGTGAATGTGCCGAAGAACTTGATAGACTGCGGGTCACGACCGAGCTCTGCAGCCTGCTTGCGGATACTCTGGACCTTGGGTCGCAAGACCTCCGGAGAATGAGAGGAGACGAAGATAGCCTCCGCGTGGGTTGATGCAAAGGTTGATCCTGCCGGGGATGTTCCTGCTTGGAACAGGAACGGTGTTCTCTGGGGCGAAGGGTCGACGATGTGGCGTGTGTTCAGGGAGTAAAATTCTCCCTTGTGGTTGATCTGGCGAACCTTGTCTGGATCAATGTACGAGTCGGCCTCGGGGTTGGGGGAGAGCGCATCTGACGCCCAAGAGCCTTCCCAGAGCCTTTAAGCGGTTAGTAGTGATTTCCGTACCGGGGATTCAGACACGAACTTGTAGAGCACGCGTAGATACTCGTCTGCTTGACGATATCGCTGGTCATGCTCGATGGGAGTGTCCAGGCCAATGGCTTTGAAGGCCGCCTTCTTGTACGAAGTAACAATGTTCCAGCCCACACGGCCATTGGTCAAGTGGTCCAGTGTAGAGAACCGCTTTGCGAGCAGGAAGGGCTGTTCGAACGATGTCGATGCTGTGATGCCGAAAGCAAGGTTCTTGGTTACTGCAGCCATTGCGCTAATGGGCTTTCCGAGAGTCAGTACCGCTTCAATTGCAAGACTATACACTTACGATGGTTGGGTCTGTCACAGGCCATTGCGCTGCCCGTCGAATACACTCGTCGAGCTTGCCCTCGTAGGTGTCGTGGCCTCCCGTTGTGTCTGCCAGGAACAGCGCATTAATGTCCCCTCGCTCCAGCAGTTTTGCGAGATCAATCCAGTAATCGAGTTTGCGCTTGGTCGCCGACTTGTCTTTCGGATTCTATGCGTGTCAGTGCGAGTGGTCCCAAATGTAAGAGCTTGAACACACCTTCCACTGCCCAGGTGACAGATGCCCGACTGTTGACATATCAAATGCATTGATCAAGATGTGCTTCTTGCCGTTGGCAGAGCCATTTTGGCCACTGGTTGGATGGATATCACCCATTTCTACGGTTTCAATTGCTTTGCGTTCTAGAGCTTCAGAGCTTGCAACTCCACCTCTGAGACTGACGGCCGCATATAAGAACTTGAAAATCTTAAAACAAGTGCACTCCCCGCACCTCGATTCCTCCGAATCTTCCCATCAAATGCGCATCTTGCGCCATCAAGTGTGACAAAGCAGTCGGCAAAATACCGAGAGCTACAGCTATCGGGGTCGAGCTTCCTCGTCGGTGGCGCATGGTAGTAGCATTCGCAATAAGCCCCACTGAAAGCGCAACCTCTCTGCTCACTGCAGCAGTCTCCAATTAGGAGAAGTCATCGGCGCGATGTCCGTTGACATAAGTCCGGACGTATGAAATGAGGGGAAGATGCAGATATTCATCTCATCATGCCGGACAAGATGGCGTGACCGCACCCCTGTCAACACAACCATCAATTATTCAGTGGACCAGTGGTTATATACGCCTTATCTTAGGGGAAACTATCCACAAGCGAGTTTGAGAGGAGGTGGCCATGATAGCTTGTTGTGGAAACTTCAAAATATTGCGCTAAAGTATATGTCTCGGTATATAACAGCCTGGCAACGCAGTTGAGGTAACAATAAGCCACCCACGATAGGTAAACGCAGGCACACTAGTTGTGAATATCCTTTCCAATTACACTCTCCTGCTGGGGTCCAGATTCCAGGTTACTCGAGTCATCGGCACTGTCATGGCCAGGCAGGCAGCCGTTTCTGGCTTCAAGTTTCCTAGCAAAAAAGTTAGAATCTTATCAGTCTACCGAACAGTTGCTTAACCACTCACTCTTGCCTTGAAATAAAATGCTGTACTACATGCGACAAAATAATCAGGCAAATCGCATTCCCAAGAACAAAGGAATACCCTTTTGTAAACCGCGGTCCTTCAACAGTCTTAAAAACCAGCAACGGCGTCCAAGCAGTTGTAGATTGGGAAATCATGTTGACAATAACCAGTGTCACCGCACGCTCTGTCGGGGAAGCACGTAGCTGGCTATTAATCCAGCCATAGAGCACGCTAGACATGGCAACGGCCGAATAGGTTGTCATAAAAGCAAACCAGAGCGCCGACTCCGGCACATTCCAAATAACGAGGATCGTGCAACCGATAATATTCCATACATGGGCAACAGTAATTGCCCATGCGGGACCGAGTAATAGATCAGACGAAAAGCACACCAAAAGCGTGTAAAAGATTCCAAGGCCCGGAGAGGCAGCGGCGAGTTCATTCAATCGGCTGGTCGAGAAGCGGTTGAGACTCTTTAACCATAGTTGGTAGCCGCCGGTCGTGGTGTTGACACTGCCGTTCCAGAAGAGAATGTCCAGCCAGAGTAACGCCCAGAATTTCCAATTGCGCCCGACTTTGAGAACAGTCTGCCATGTAAGTGGCGACTCCTCGACCTTGTGTGAAGCGCGCTGCAGCCGAGACTTGGCGAGCGCGATGTCTTTGTCTTTTAAGAAGAATTTGTTGGGCTTGTCTGGTGTTCCTGGAAGAAGGAAGTAGCCCATAATTGCCACGGGTATGGTGATGACGGCGCAGATAATGTACATCCATCTCCAGCCGGAGAGTCCGTTGACGCCGTCCAGGCTACTTGATGTACCTGCTTGAATGAGGCTTGCGGTGAGAGTTCCTAATGTGAGACCGACATAGAACAGCCCTCCTCGTCGGGAGATCTCATCGCTTCGATACCAGGAGCCTGAGACTTTTAGATAGGTGCATCTTAGGCGCTTAAAGGAGACATACCGAAAATGTAGTGCATTCCGGGATAGTACGCCGCCTGAATCAAGTTAGGGCTCCATTCTTAATCGCAGATCAGCAAGACTGACCTCAAACCATCCAACTAGGAAGCGATAGGCTGCTAATTCAGCATATGAATTTGCTCGGTATTGTACTAATGTGAAGATACCCCATGCAATATCCATGAACGGAATGATCCAGTGCATCGGGAGTTTGGTGAAGAGATAGGCGAAGGGTAACTGGCCCACCACAGCGCCAATAGTGTAAATCGTCTGCAGTTGTACGAGCTCATTGCCATGAAGACCCAGATCTTCCTTGAGACCAGAGACGTATGCATTATCTAGGGAATTTGTCAATACTCGGCGTTTTTCTGGGATCCCAGACGCGCTTACTGATATTCGCCTGGTCGATGTACTTGGTCCAGTAGGCCAAAAAAGCATACGGCACAATCAATAAGTCAAGCTTGAGGATGAGCTTTCTCTCCTCTTTAGTGTCTTGGTCTGCGAACCATTGCACATAGTACCATTTCCGTCGTTGCTGGGGGACGGACATTGTTAGTGCGTTTTCTCTCCAGCTGAAGAGAGATTGAGATCGGAAAGTATGAAGAGTTCAAGGAGGTTCACACAATTAAACATTCGCGACTGCTCTCACTTTCACTTTCTAGTAAGGTCAGGCAAGGATGGAAGATGCCACTGCAGATGGCAATTGCGTGACGAGTACCTCGGCGATGCCCCGAGGTACCCCAAGCACCTGCGGCCAAAGCTCCCATGCAGCGTATTCTGAGACTAGCAAAGTCATTATCTTTCCAACCTCGCATTTCCCCAATTGAAACTCTGTCGGCCAAGAGAAATGTCAAAAAGTGGAGCAAAGACGTGCTAGGATGTGCTTACGGCCGCGCTGGCCTAGTGGGGAAATTCAACTAAAACATTTGCAGGAATTCAAAACAAAACGTAGAGTTCCAATGATCTATTATGTCCGTAGAGGGGAATGGCTCAATGCTCTTTTGTACAAAATGCAAATGCACAACGCCGTCTAAACCAAATGCCTAATATACATGTAAACTATGCAGAATCAGAGACCGTCGAATGGCCTCAAATATTGTATGCAGCATATCCGGGGCCGTTTGAGCCAAGTTAAGACTTGGTTTCTCCTAGCGGCGAGGCAGGCTCCGCTTGTTCCTGGGCGTGACCTGCCACCTCCTCGGACTGGATTGCCGGCTGCTCCTTGCGGAGTTCTGCCACCTCGTGGGTGGGCTTCTCAGTCCCCTGGGGCTCCTCGGCAGCCTGTTCTTGGGGCTTCTCTTGGGCCTGCTCGGCCACTTGTTCTTCGGTTGGGCGAGCCACCTCTTCGGTAGCATAGTTTGTCGCTTGCTCTTCAGGCTGCTCTGCCACCTGTTCTTGAAGAGTCTCAGACACCCTCTTTTCAGACTTGGGTGGGCCTCTTAGTTCCAATTGTCGGAGCTTGAACTCATTCCGCTGCTCAACCGTGGGCTTGACAGGCTTTCCGGTAAGTTTCTGAATCGTCGCCTGGTCGGAGTACTTCTTCAGCATGTTCGACTCCGATTGGAGAATTTTACGCTCTTCTTTGGTCACAAAGAGCGCAAATTCGGTCTTCAACGTCTCATCGGTGATCAGGCGCACCCAAGCCATGATTCTGGCACAATCCTCGCCCATGGCCAGCTCACCGAGATCGGTATCCCAACGACCCTTACGGGCAGCGCCAGATTGTCCGTTCTCCATGGCCTCATGAAGCTTGGCGATGTGAGGTCGAAGAGTGGCGAGGGCACATAGACGTAGCTTGGTTTGCAGCTTCTTGCCTAAGGTTTGCAAAGTGCGAGTGTCGCGTCCTGTATCCATGTCCAGTCCTAGAAGGTACATGAGACTATGTGGGTTGTCGCAGAGCCTTTGGACCAATTCCAGGTAGTTTCCTAGTGAGCGAGGATCGGGAAGAAGACACGATTCATTCATCAAATCGAGGAGCTCGTTCGCATGCAAGAGAACTTTGCGGTTCTTGCGGTCCCGGCGACAGCATGACAGAGCAACATGGAATGCCTTTCCCTTGGCCCGTCCCGCAGGGACCATTTGCTCGCGCATGACACGAGTAGCAGTGTGGCTGGACCGCGTGAGACGGAGCAGACGGAAGTACTCCATGTAAGAAAGATTGTCAGGCTCGATACGGGTTGGATTTTCTGGTTTGGTCAAGTGATCCCAGTAAACAGAACCAGTGGAGGCACCTTGAGTCAATTTGAAACATGCCTCCAAGATCATGGTAAGATCCTTGTTGTTAGGTTGGAGGTAAGAAAGGTTCTCGGAGCCTGGTACCATTGGATCGAAGAGGGAATCAAATTTTTCCTCCTCCTCTTCCTCGACGGGAGCCTCTTTTTTGGCCCGTTTCAACAAATTGTTATCCTGATCGACAAATGGAACATCGTCTTCCACACTCGAGCCCGGTGCTGTCTTGGGTCTTCGTTCGAGCTCTCGCCAGACCCTTCGATGCGCGATCTTGACGTTATTCTCTGGGAGCTTTCCAAAGATGGGAGTTCCTGTGGCTTGATTATAGAGTGCAAATATGTCGTAGAAATCACGATCATTGGCACCCTGAAGAAGCAGACTGGCCATGGAGCCTACCACGTTGTTATCGATAGGCAAGGGATTTACCTTGTCCTTTGCCCAGCGATAGACAACATCGGCCCAAATTCGCTTGCCCTCTGTAACCATCTGTGATTTTCGCGCAACGATTTTTTCAATCTCGGAGCGATCCATTTTCAGGATGTCGTTTTGGGCTGCGAACTGAATGGCCGTCAAGATAGTACTGTAGGTCACCATATCGGGTGACTGTGGTCCTTCTTCTGGCAGCTCACCGGCAATGCGCCATAACGTATCCATATCACCGTGTCGCTGACAGACCGAAAGCATCGCGTTGGTATGAATGATGTCGGGCTTGACTGGGGAGTTCTCGGCGAAGATTGAACGATAGACTCGGAGCGCATCCTGGACTACGTTTGGCGTACCCTCCGCGGCTTTGCGGAAGCCCGTCAACATGATCGTGTACGTCCTCGAGTTCGGTGCGCGGCCTCGTTTTTTCATCTACCGGAAATTTCATGGTTAGCAATGTCCTATCGCCGAATACCAGTGTCTCGAGGTATGAGATCCATATATACTCACATCGTTATAAAGCTTGAATGCCGCTTTGGAGCATTGTCGGTCCATGAAGTATTGAAGCAAATTATTCCAAGCAACACCGCAGCTCAGTCCCTCCCTCTGTGCCTGCCGGACCAGCGCGGCCGCTTTTGCCACATCACCGCTTTGCAGGATACGTGCCACCCGGTCCGCCAGAGCACGAGGGTCTGCGAGCCATTTCAACTCCAATTCAAGAGTCTTGCGGGAGGTCGGGTCTTCGCCGTCGAGTTTTGAGTTGGAGGCAATCGCCATCAATGAAGCCCTTTCTGCCTTGGACGCACTTTGGCTCCAGGACATGCCTCCATTAGAATTCCTGTTACTCGCAAAGTGTTCCTTGTGGCCTTTCCAGGGCTCGGGGCTGGCATTGGTCTCTACCTTCGGCGGAAGTTTGAGGGAGGTCTCTTGCTCATGATCGGCGAGTGTATCTTCGGTGGCTTCGGTGGAATACGACCGCGACGCGCTCGGGGGTAGGCTGCGACCTAGGCGGTATGCGCCAGTGTTCGCTAGTCGTTGCTGGATCAGTCGGCTGCGCAGAGTTCTGCTCAGGACCGATCCTGGAAGTTGGATTGACATCACCGGACGTCTGGTCGCGACAGGGGGCGGCGGCTTGTCCTGATGAAAAGCCCGTCTATATGTAGTGTGACACGCGGAATGGGAACTTCTCCGGAGTAGAACCCTATAGGAAAAAAAAAAAAAAAAGGGACGTGAAGATGGTTTCTGGATTCTCGCGGAGTCGCAACAATTTCTCGGAGAAAGAATCGATCTAGTCCTTATCAGGCTAGGTTCTGATCCTGGACGTTCAGGCAGACAATTTGTGCCTGAGGCGCTCAACACATGGCGCGGCAGCACTAAGCCTCATGCAGTTTGGCTCCTGTATGGAGCGGCCCGCAAGAAGGTCCACGGAATTTCTTGCATTCTTACAGCTCGTAAGGACTAGTTCCGCATCAACTTTGGTACGCCAACGCCGGTTTCAGATCTGCATATGCCGGGGTCATATGTCGTTCCTTCATGCCAAGAACGCTAGTTTCTTGAATCTATAGTCTTTATCCACTACTATAATGTTAATACTTCATCTCAAATTACCTAGCAACAAATTTAGACATTTTCCGCAGTCCCCTACGATAACGGCTTAGTGCATAGATTCCAATAATACAGTCAACAGTCGGCCCCGTTAGCGGACTACAGCCAGGTCTATCCCTCAAGTTGACGTAGAGAGGACGAGAGAATATGACTGCCCCGCGTGCAAGTGCGCTGCGAGTAGAGTTAGTGGCGGCAAAGACACTCGCTGCATAGTGTGAATAACATGCAAGGATATGAAGGAAGACACATTGCATCAAGATGACGAGCCATGCTGGATGAATGATAGTTCTCATTGTCGGCACGATCCAATGAATACCTAGTCGAGCAGCCCAACCAAAAATAGATAGACCAACCGAGGGCCCGAAAACGCAAAAAGCGCTGGAATCGAGACTTTTTTTTTTGCTTCATGAAGCGATCTTCGCGTAATCTGGGAACGAAGACTCTGTACATGTAGAAGTCGTAGATGACGAATGAGATGGCTGTGCCGACCACGATGGCAAGACTTGCTACTCCCTATCTCACCAAGGCGAACCCGTAGAGCCTTGGTATACGATCAGGAGTATTTTAAAGAAAGAATAATAGATGCCGGAAGTGAGCAATATGTGGCAGTTCAAATACAGAAATGGCGGGTCAAGGGATGTAATCTTCGAAGAAAAAAGCAACGATTCTCGCACCACGGTGTGAAAGAAGACGCCACCCTGTGTAATCTCTGCAGCAGACTTGTTGACACCGAACTCAACGATGAATGAGCTCTCACCTGGCGCGTAGATAGGTGCAGCCATGTACACAACGAAACTGTATATGCCAATCACCAAGTTGACAAATGCTTCCTTCGACTGTGGCCAGTTATGCGGATTCTCTTCATACTTTTCAGAATACCGATTGACAAGAGCTGTTTTGCTGTCATTATACCCAGAATGGGGCATAACCGGAGCCTTTTCATGTCGCTTGCTCTTTTTCATACCCCAACCAAGTTGTCTGAATATTAGACGAAGATATTGTCCAATAAGGCTGTCACGTGCACCTTGAGAAGTCATAGCTTTTGGGAGGCTTAATTTGTCTCTCGAGGCAAAACTATTGTACATGGCTTTGAAGCCCAACCAACTACAGTCAACTTCCAATATTCAAAGCATTTAACCGCCATCTGTTCCACACATAAACATCCTCAATTCATAGATACCAAGACATCCAGAATAAATAAAAGGTCAAAAGACCTGAAAGGCGTAGTGAAAAATCTACAACGCCTCCAAAACGCCAAGACCCGTCACTAAGTAACTAGAAAGCGCCCCCAAGGGTCCAAGCAGTACGAAGGAACGGACCGCCAACTAAGCGCCAATCCAAAAGCGCGGCAGCACTAGACCTCAAACAGTTTGGCTGTTTTGCGAAGGAGCGGGCCGCTAGAGCAGATTTTGAACGCAGGCGTACGGCTCAAAAGTACTAGCTCCCGGCAGCTCAACTCTGGTACGCCAGTGGCGGTTCCAGATCTCCGGTGGCCCGAGTCTTACCTGCATTGCGTATTGCATGTTGCAGCCTGCAGCTATCAGGATGCGCATACACAGGGTTAGGAGATATTGTGGCTTTTCTTCTTATTGGATGAGTTTTTGGGTTGTTCGGTTTCTTCCGTAGATTGTTCGCTGAAGAGTTTGAAGATTGTCATGATGAAACTGGGATGTCTCAAGGGCTAGTAAGCTAGCTGATCCTCACTGTACATTTAATGTTATGGAAAACCCAGGCAGGACAGTCCACGGACGTCTAGATTTTATTCAATAGTGTAAAGTAAACTCTTCATCTAACATACTCTCAGCTTCTTCCCCAAATTCTTTTCTCGAGGATTATGCAGCCCTGCACCAAAATCCTAAGCTAGAGCAAAACCCAAGGGTTCAGATTCAACAAATGAAAAACAACATTCGATCCGTACACTTTTCTTCGCCGCCCTGTATTTCGGTATACACCCATTCAACACACAGAGTCAACCCCTCAAAACGAACAATGGCAGGCACTGTGTAATGCACGCATCCCAATCTAATCCCAAACTAAACTAAACACATCAAAGTTCCTGACCTGCAGGGTCAAGGTACCCTAGTCCACGTGGCCTCGCACACCAACGCCAACCTTAAATCAAAGACCTGCAGGGAACCTCGGCCACAGGCATCTAATGGATACATCCAGATACAAAGGTACCTTCAAGTACAACTCCATAGAAATCACCAACGGGAAATCAACATAATCTCTCGGCTCCCAAACCTTCCAATCCAATCTAATCCTGGCTGACGGTTAAAAAAATCGAAAGCCACAAGGAAAACAAAAAACAGCCTACATTGACTTTCGACGCAGGTTAAGAAAGCAAACCAGTGCCATAAACATTAGTCTGTAAGATATCGATGCTGGACTCTTGGTGGGCTTAGCCCGGTACGCTACGCGGCTCCGGCTAGCTTGGGCAGCGACTTGTGGGGGGACTAGATGATCCTGGCGCCCGGGCTGGCTTAACCTTATTTGATAAATTACATACTAGAGCGAGCTACAGGGTTGGAGGGCGGGTAAGGCTTTACGTGTGGGGAGGTTAGTTGGTGTTAGATAGTATTAGTGCTTAAATCGTGTCCTGGTACTTTAAGGAAGGTTTTTGATGGCTGGTGTCTAGATATGAGAGGAAATTGACATGTGCATAACCGGCAGGTACTGGGGTTGTATTTTAGGAGTTTACTGAGGTTTACAGTCCTGGAGCTTGAGTCTGGTTCAAGTTGTCATCCATTACATGGCGTATAAAATAGACGTCTCATCTCTGTAATTACAGCGAGCAAAACAGACACACAGACACAGACACAAGGAAATCAGATAATGCACAGTAGTTTCAAACAGTTGACTGTAGACCCAGCACAGTATAATATACGTAGACGTAGAGGAGAGAGACAAGAGACGTATCAGCAGTAAAGAACAAGAACCTGCAAAGCAAGGGTTCCCATGCAAGCAAAGAGACGAGAGACAGAGACAGAGACAGAGACAGGGACATGGGATGAAGCCAAGAAACAACCCCTTCCAGAAAAAAAAGAAAAAAGAAAGCAACGATTTTGGGAGGAATGCCCGTAACAACAGAAATAAACACATGCAAGAAAGGGAATAAATCCGCCCACCCAACCAAAATTCTTGAACAGCCCCCGACAAAGGAGCACGAGCGCAAGCTAAAAGCTAAAACAAAGGAACCCACCAGAAAGAAGAGACTCTTTTGAAGGATGCACAACTCTAGTACAGGAAAGGAAGAAGGTCGGAAAGCCACTCTTTGACTGGAACTGGATGGATTAAAGCCGCAAGAGGTTGGTATCATCGAGGGAAAAGACGTGAAGGGGGCAAGGATCCGGATCCGGGAGACATGAGGGTCAAGTCAAGAACATGGGATATCGTGATTAGAAAGAACAGCAAGACAGAAAAAAAGAAAAACGAAAACAGCAAGGACAGATGCAGTTTCCGTGCCACGGCGTAGGAGTCGATTATGTAAATTATTGCGGGTAGCTGGTAGATTGAGTCTCTGGATTTGCCGTAGCGAAGTAGATCAGCCGATCGGTCCTGGGAGAGTTATGGCGCGTGTTGGACCGTGTTGGACCGAAGGGGAGGGAAAGAATCCAGTTGGGTCGATCCTGGCAGAGAAACTAGATGGCGATGATGGCTGTATTTTACTCACGTTGCTGATACACGGGACCGTTCTGGTAGGGAGAGTGAGGGTAGTTGGGAGGATAGCCCATCTGTCCGTTGCTCTGGTAGACCATGCCGCCGCCAGGGGGGCCATATTGGCCGGGCACCTGGCCATCAGCAGCCTGGTAGCCGATAGGAGGGAGTTGAGGGCGAACGCCGCCGGCGTAGGCAGAGGGCTGACCCTGAGAGGGATCGGAGGGGCCAGGAGCGTCGACCTGGTTGGCTTGTACCGCCTGGGCAGCAGCACGCTCACGCTCCTCAGCGGCCTTACGCTGAGCCTCTTCCTCCTTCTTTCGGGCCTTCCATTCCTTGCGGATTTCCTTGAATTCTGAAGAGGAAGTCAGCAATGAGGTCAAATCAAGCAGTGAAAGGTATGGTGGTGGTTTGGCAAGTTAGGGGCGGAAAGGGATACGCTATCAGTTAAGCATGCTTAACCTCCACGCCGGTGAGGCACTACTGCAGCCCCGCGAAATCTAGTGTAACTCACTAGCGCGAAGCTGCCGGCGCTAACCCAATCCAGCCATTTGCGACAGACCAAGACAACAATTCAAGATCGCGATTGAGGAAATAAAAAGATAAACTCACCTTCGGGAGTGCGCTTCGAGCCGTGCGACTGCATTGTCACATGCGCGTTCAAGTGGTTGAGAGTACCATAGGCCTTCTCACAACCGTGCCATCCACACTTGTACATGCGCTCGATTTCCTCATAGCGACGACGAGGGCGCTTGTGCTGCTGAGCACCGGGAATAGGAACAAAGGAGTAGACCTGTCGAGGACGAAAACGAATTAGCATACCAATCCAGTCAATTGCCCAGATATTTTTTTTCATAGGCAACCAGCAAATCTCAATCGCAGAACGAGAGAGAAATGCACTGTTTTTGACGATCCCTTGGGCGGCTTCTTTCACAGTATGCCGAGCCCAGAGGCGTCCAAGACAACAGAAATGAGAGAAGCCCCAGGGATCATCAAAAACATACCTGGCCAGGGCGCGGCCCTGCGGTCGCGGCAGGGGAGGCAGAACCAACCGTTGTAGCGGGCGAGGCATAGGGGCCTGGCATGTGGTGTTGCTGTCCATAGCTATGCGGCCAATCCGGGCGCGTGTACATCTGATGAGGCGGGGGCGGGTGACCCTGATACTGAGCCATCTCGTGTCCCTGAGGTTGGTAGGGGGAGTAGGGAGGAGGGTAGGAGGGGCTGTTGGCCGGAAGAGAAGGATCTAGGACGGGGTCAGGATTGAACGAAGGAGCCTCGGGCAGGAACGGGAACTGACTTGTTGCTTGAGCCATACCGGCCGGCGCGCCGGGCTGAGAGTTGGGGGCGTAGGGTTGAGGGCGCGGGAGGTAGTCCTGGTAGGCGGGCGAGCGAGTGGGCGGAGGGTTCAACCCGTACTCTGGCTGGGGGGTGTTGGAGGACGAAATGTTGGCGGGTCGAACCTCAGGCTGCGAGTACTTTACGTCGGGTGGGGCGTAGTGAGCAGGGGCAGCAGCAGAGGTTTGATCTGCAGATTGGGGTTCAGAAGGTGCGCCGGTGATGGACGGGTGGTGCGAACCTGACTGTGCGTACTCGGAGGCGGGCCGGGTGTCCATAAAAGAATCGAGTCGCGAAGGGAGAGAGATCTGACGCGTCACAGATGAGTTTGGGCCGTTTGGTAGTTTGGTGGGAATTGCAAGTGCAAGTACAAGTGAAAGTCAAAGTCAAGATGGAAGATAGTGAAGATCGGGAAGGGGAATGGGAATGGGCGGAGAAATTGAAGCGGATAGGTATCAAAGCACTTGGTCGCCACGTTGGAGTGACAGACCAGGGGGGAAAGACGAGAATTGACGTACTCTCTCCAAAGGTGCAGATCGTGAATGTGGAGATCCAAAAGAAAGGGGATCGACGCGTTTCTGTCAAAGCGCGTTGGAAGGAAGCCCCGATGCTTAAATCTTAGTTCGCTTTTTAGGACGAGGATGCCTTGCAGGTGGCGGCGTAAGCACGAGGCACCAGGGGGATATAGAAAAGAAAAAAAAGGCAAGAGACTCAAGAGGGGTGCAGTAGGCGCCCTAAAAGGCCGATTCGGCAGGGCAAAAGACGACCTCGTGGGATCCGAGGATGCTGTGGACCCGGTGGTAATCACGGTATCACCGTGGTCACGTATTTTATTTCTCAGAGATATGGATGCTCATGCTAATTACTTTTATTCTATTTTCATTTGCATTTTCATTTTCATTTCCATCTCCCTCTCGGACCTTTCCCGTTTCTACACAATACTCCGGTTTGGCCCCCTTTCCCCCCCCCTCTCTCTCCTCCGGCTAAGTGGTGTCTGCTCCATGATGAAATGGGAAAAAAAGAAAGAAAAAAAAGAATGGGAAAAAAAAGCGGATCCCCTGGATACTGGAAGAAAAAAAAAAAAAGTGGCGACATGATGATGGTCCAACCTCCTCTTTTGAAATTCTTGAATTCTTTCACATTCAATCCGAATGGTCGTGAAAAGATGGTGGACGTTGAGATATAGAGATGTAGTCAAGTAGTGGTTGCTCTAGTGGCTAGCTCCGAGCTGGAAGACTAGTCTACCCGCAAACTCGGGGCGCGTCTCTAAGACAGCGAACCTAGCGTCTACGCTCCGTGGGTACCAAGATCGTAGAAGGGGCCAGGGGGGCCATGGGTGCCATGGGTGCCATGGCGTGCCCGAGGAACCTCAACGGGGGGAGAGGGCCGCCAGCCTGAATAGGATTAGGAGACGAGCACTAGCCCACAAAGGGACAAAGCGCAGGCCGGGGGAAGCAGAAGCGATGGAACTCGGGAAGACCAGGGCTAGCGTGGACGGCGTGGGTGGTCTCTTGCGAGTTTGCACCTATGAGTGCCCCTCGGTACCCACCCGCTGTGGAGCAGCTCGGTGGAGGGTCAACCCGGTTAGGATTAGTGTAAAGCTTACGAAGTTGGAAAGCCGGGCGGTTGAAGCCGGTAGGTTCTTTAGGAAATGTAAGAAAGCCAGAAAGTAAGGGAAAAAAAAAAGGTAAAAAAGGTGTGTGTGTGTGTGTATCCTGTGGAGATGTTTTTACAGTACGTACCTAATTATTCGAGTGATCAATGCAACACTGCAACACTGGAGCTCAAACTCTGGAGTAAACAAGATCTCCGTACCTGGGTACCCGGCCCTAAAAGGGGCTCTCTCTCTCTCTCTCTCTCGCACTCCCACTCCGCTCTCGCGTAGCTTCCCCCCCCCAGTCACGATACCTCAACGCGAGTGGAAACAGAACCCCACCGGGATTGGAGACCTCATGACACCTGTAGTTATTTGATTTATTTGATAACAGTCACGGCGCCAGCCGGTTCCGATTCGAGTATAAATGTCTCCCCCTTTTCCCTGCAGTGACGCCCCCACCTCTCTGAGAGTGGGAGGTTGTGCCGCCGAGATGTCCGATATGTCCCAGGTTGGAGGCCGACCGTGGTTCTGCCTCAATGCTTCATCATACAACCGGGGTTAAATATAGGTCCCAGATGCCTCTTGTCCTTTTTCGTGCTGGTCCGTGGTACGTGCTGGTTGTCCCCGGCGGAGTATCGGCGGCTCTCCGGGGCTTTTTACCCTAACTAGCCTACGTGGAGCCGACGCACCAGATAGGGAGAAAACGGACCATGCAGATGCAAATGCAAATGCAAATGCAAATGCAAATGCAGCAACCATAATGCAAGGCTCCCAGCTCGGAATGGTATCCTCCTGTTTCGGTTCTCCATAGGTGATTGGCCTTGGGGACCACCAAACTGGATCTCACCCCGCAGCGCGGAACCTGTTCATCCACTGCCGGTGAGGCAAAAAGCAACTCTGTTCGCCCCATCACACACTTCCTCTTCCTTGTCAATATGATTTACACCGAATCGGACCCGGTAAACAACTAATGAGAGATAGAGAGAGAGTAAGAGAAAGGGAGCAAGATAAGGCAAAGGCCGAAGGGCTACCACAGTGGGCCCCCCACCCCCCTCTCCTTCTTGGCGGAGAGCTCCGCGGACAATACGGAGTACGGGAATTCCGGACATGAAGCCGGGATCGATATCAAATTCATATGGCGCGTCAGTCATTGGGCGCCGCAGCCGCAAGTGCTCCAGTACGCGGGATACGGGTACGCTCCAAGCGTACATACTGGTACTGGCCTTCCCCTTCGGACGATCACTCCATAGACTCCCCAGTTTTCATGTCCTTGATGGCCTATATGATCCGTAGATCAAATCCGCATCTCGGAGAATCTTGGCAATTCCCGAGATTTTATTATGCAATATAGCCCTACCCGAACAGCTCTGGGAATCTTCCCGCTCTAGGCGGGCTCTGCGGTTGTGGGTATAGACGGGAAGACAGACGAGACGAGAGGAGAGAAAAGAGAGGGGCGGAGACAGCGTGGCGATGGTGGACTGTAGGGGTGCACGTGTTGTGTGGTATGGAGGCGTGAACATGGACTGTTCGAGGCACGCACGGCTATTCTCCGGCTGATCACCACACCACAACAAAGCCCATCCGTACCAAACCCCTTGGGACCAAGGACGAGGACCAAGCACCAAGAAAGGACCGAACTAAGGACGATCCTCCCCAGCTGTCAACCCGGGTACCTCAATGCACGTCTACTCGGCCATAGGCACGAAATCAGTGCCCTGTGCTCATAACAATCTCCCACGGATCCACATGGACTGTGCAAATACCATGCTACGCCGTACACAGTAAGTGTTACCCGCCATTCGGCAGATCGAGCACAACGACTGATATCCCATCGTGATCAAATCAGTCTTGATTCATGGCCATCCCCTAGAACCTGTTTTCCTTTTGATTCTTTTGTTTTCTCTATCTTTTCCCCTTGACCATTGAGAGGCACGTCCCCTCTCGCTTACGAGACGGAACCCCAATCTCAATTCTCGCACGAATGACAGGGAACGAAAAGAGGGGAAAATCAAGGTTGAAATGTTACCAAACAATCAGCCAATTAAGTAACCAACAGGGATTCGAATCCCGCGTCTTTCTCAGTCTTGTCCTTGACAGCCAAGGCGCCCCTGGGTCCTAAACCTTGGAAATCATGTGGAGTCCTGTACACGTCCCATGTGAGATTCAAGAAGCCCCGAATAAATGCGAGGCTAGATACACCGAGTAGAGTTACATTTTCCATGCATATTCTACGCCTGCTCCAGGAGGCAGAAACCTTGCATGGGCCGTTGCCTAGCCCAGCAATGCGGCGGGAGCTGGAATTGGAGCTGGAATTGGAACTGGAATTGGAATTGAACTGAACTGGAGCATCCTAGAGAATTGATAAACACTGGTCGCGTTGCTTTGTTTCTGTTTTCTGTTGTGAGTTCTGTTGCCACTTGCTCACTCTTCCAAGGTCAACGGGAAGAGCCGCCGGAGTTTGGGTCGCGATGGGGCTACAGGTGGACGCGTTGGGGATGATGCAGGATAGTGCAGGATAGTGCAGGACGGTACAGGATGGTACATGGGCATGGAGAAGCTTTGGGACCAATGCATACTGTAGTGTGCAGCCGCTCGGCTGGACATACATTATTTCACGATTATGCTTTCGGTTCAGGGGTGAATTGGCCCCCCCCCCCGCCCCTCGTCTCATTTTTGGGTCTCCCTTGGCGGGCGCGAGGTGTCAGTTTGCGCTTGGGTCAGGAGATTGTTGCGGGTAATTCTAATCATTTAAATTCTTTCAATCTGGGTTTACAGGTATTGGTAATTTGGAGAGGTCAGGTCAGGTCATGGTGGTGTTAGGGTATGGTTTATGTTCATGTAACAAGATTCCAGACTCGGGATGCCTGGATAAGAGGGCACTCACAACCAAGGACCAAGATTGAAAGAGCATGAAAATTGAAAGAGCATGAAACTACATCAACATACACAATTAAAGCATGGACCAGATCCCCACAGCCGTCACTTTAGTTAGCGCATGCTTCTTTCTATAGTGTATCTGCGGTGAAACCTACTTAACCTTAGCTCACTAGCACTTGCACCGCCTTGCTGTGGGCCGGTTTAAGCATAAACCCTACCTGCTCGGCGAAGAGCTAGCAGTGATTATGAGATCACTCCACTAGGCTGTTTACGGGCTGAAATACGATTGACAGGTTGAAAGATCGAGCACTCGACCTTAGTGTACCTAGGATGGTTAGGGCATTCGCATTGAGTCTGGTGCCGAGTATATCTAGGTCTATCACGGTATAAATCTGACCGCTAATCCTCTCTGGGCAGGCTCCTAAATGTCACGGTTCTTTCTATATCTATGAAGCACACCGAGCGGGAGCGTGAAGCGCTCGATGACATTTGACTCGCTAGGGTTCTTGAGCCTGATATATACCAAACTTTAGATAGGTAATTGAATCTCGTTTGAGGCTCCCCACCCCGGTCCATCGCTAGAAACTAAACTCCCTCAGGTTTCAGACAACTTTGAATTTCTCCCCTTCCAAGTCTCTTCATGCCTTTTCAGGCTCATCTGTGCTTGATCCGTTATAACCGACGGAAAAATATCTTCCGTCCGCAGGCAGAGTTACCCCGGGCACGGATCGACTGCGGGGTTGAATTGCTTGCTCTCGATATGTACATAGTCAACGATCAGGACAATGAGAAGGAACACTTAAAAGGGAAAACAGAGACCGCCAATTTCAGCTGCTTGTTATCGCTTTCCCACTTAAGCATCCAGGGGTCACAATGAACTCGTCACTAGGATACATCACCACATTGCTCTCGCTGTTCCAGTCAGTTTCGGCAATACCCACAGCACAAGCACCAAATAAATTCAACTGGTCTGCCAAGAAAGGAATGTAAGTAAAAGACTCCAATCTAGATCTTTATTCAACTAGTCCGCCAGAAAGGCTAACCAAATAGAATCGCATTCGGCGACTCCTACACCTATGTACAAGGAACCCACGGCCACCAGAACTACAGCTTTATAGGCGATCAATTCAACTACGCATACGATCCAGAGACTCTACTCTCAAACATGATTGTCCAAAACCAGGTACACTCCAATTCTCCAATTCCTTCCAAGTATGTATTATACCCAAGCGGAATCCGAACTAACACTCGACCCGAGACCGCAACCGCAGAAGGAGGTCCAAACTGGATCGAATACCTCACAAACTGCGGCCTCGAACCCGGAATGACCTCCCCACGGAGCTGCCAAAAACAGCTTTGGGACTTTGCCTTCGCCGGCGCAGACATATCAACCGAATAGTACGACCACGAACTCTCCCAGGCCACCCAGGCCACCCAGAGAACATTGAACTAATTCGATGGATACTATCCAGCACACCCCTCCACCACAACTTCACCGTCTCCCTAGTAAACCAAATAACCCAATTCCAAGAATACGGTCACAGCACCCTCTCCCAACACCTCAGAGAAACAGAAACTCTGATTGCAATCTGGATCGGCATCAACGACATCGGCGACAGCAGCAAATACGCCGTTGATTTCCCAACATTCTACGCAAATCTCACAAACACTCTCTTCACTTCTATAGACACTTTATATAAACTGGGCTACAAATCCTACCTTCTCATCAACCTCCCACCACTGGATCGCACGCCCTCAAACCAGGCGACTAGTACGCCGCATCCGAATGCGACGCAGGTTACCTGGTATAATGACGCATTAGCTGCGCATGCAGAGCAGTTTGGGAAGAAGCGAAATGTTGAGATGAGGGTGTTTGATGCGCATGGCAGGTTGAGTGAGATTATGGAATCTCCGGGACGGTATGGGATTGTGAATACGACGGGGTATTGTGCAGGGTATGATCAGTTGGATGTTGGGGTGAATTATAAGGAGTATGGGTGTCCGGTGCCGGTGGAGGAGTATTTTTGGTTTAATTCAGGGCATTTGACTAGTCATGTCCATCGGATACTGGCTGGGGAGATTGAGAGGTGGTTGATGAGATAACGGGGAAAGGGCATTGTACTCCAAAGAGGACGAAGGAGGTTACGAGACAGATATCTACGTAGTGATGGAAAGATGGAACAATAAATAATCAATTATGGACACACTGAACTTGGTCGGTCCTCGTGAGCCGACACAATTAGAAAAACTTTTCGAATAATCAACATGTATGAATTTGGCCATAAAATCCAAGCCTCTAGGATTGCCGAAGGAACCGCAGACATGGGGTGAGGGGCTCGGCGAAAGAGCCCTCAATGTACCGATAAAAGCAGGTAAAACTGTCTATGACATCGAAAACGCCGTCCGTACCGAATTACGCAAGGAACCGAAGTGAAGCAAAACAAGAGAAAGTCTACCGGGTACGCAGAGCAGTGTCTGGAGGGCGTGCTTACCAGCCACGGTTACCGCCGAGGCCACCGGAGTTGGAGCCAGTGTTGTAGCTACCGCCGCCACCGCCGCCACCGCCGCCACGACCACGACCACCCCAACCACCACGGCCACGACCGCGGCCACCCCAGCGGCCACCACCACCGCCGCCACCGCCGTAGCGGACCATCTCGGCGAGACGGGGGTCGATCTGCTGCTTGGCCTCAGTGAGGATACTGACAAGGTCACGGGCCTGCTTGGCATCTGTGGGAAAAAAAGGTTAGAATTGATAAACCCAAAAAGGGGAAAAGGGACGTACTCTCGGTGGTGAAGAAGGTGATGGCAGTACCACTGGCACCGGCACGACCAGTACGACCAATGCGGTGGATGTAGTCCTCCGAGTTGTTGGGGTAGTCGTAGTTCAAAACGTGAGTGATGTCACGAACATCTTTTACAAAGGTTTCGTTAGCATAAACAGGGCATTAGTGGGTAAAGCAACGTGGCCATAGAGGGCCCTTTCTCAGTCGTGGAGGACCTGATGCATCATTGCTCTCTGCTTGGAATTCAGAAGAAAATCCTGAGGGAAGCGAGTCCATGGGATGGCAGTGTAATCGCGGTCCTAGAGTAACCTTGGGGATAAATGCAGCTTTCGAACAGTTCAAGAACAATGAGATACGAAAAAGACTCCAACTCAGGCATGAGTTTAGAGGAGTCCGGGAATCCGATCAGGACTGCTGTCTGCTACGCTGCACTGTGAGTCTCCAAGGTCCTCCTGGTATGAGAACCATAAAAGATGACGCGACTTTCCGCCTGGACGAGTCGTGTGGGTACCAACACGCTTCGGAGAGAGTTGAGCACCGTGCCAGTTGTGTTATAATATCACATTCAACACGGGTGAGTGTTCTCAAGGGCCCCTTCAGGGAAGGGGTCAAGGGGGAGGGGGAAGGGGAGGGGGTTGCAATTTGATCATACCGATACCACGGGAAGCCACATCGGTGGCCACCATGATTGGGCTCTTGCCCTGCTTGAACTCGTTCAAGACCCAGTCACGCTCGTTCTGCTGCTTGTCACCGTGGATGGCTGAGTGAAAATGTTAGTGAAATGTACCAAGGAGAATGGGGGATAGAAACATACAAAGCGCGGGCCATCCGTCCTGGCGGAGGAAGCGGGTAATCTCGTCAGCGACACGCTTGGTGCCAGTGAAGATAAGAATCTTGTTGGAGCGATCTTCCATAACCTTCTCCATGTGCTTAATCATGCGGTCACGCTTCTCGAAGTCGGACATGACCTCGACGATTTGAGTGATACGGTGGTTAGCGGAAAGCCCCTCGGAGCCGATGTTGACCTGAATGTAATCGTTGAGGAAGTCAGAGGCCAGCTGGCGGACCTCCTTGGGCCAGGTAGCGGACCACATGCAAGTCTGACGGTCAGGGCGAATCTGGCCAATGATCTTGCGAATTTGGGGCTCGAAACCCATGTCGAGCATGCGATCAGCCTCGTCGAGAACGAGGTAGGTGACACGGCGCAGGTTGGTGCGGCCGGCCTCGAGCATATCAATCAGACGACCAGGAGTGGCAATGCAGACCTCAACACCGCGGGAAAGGTCACGGATTTGGGGGCCCTTGGGGACACCACCGTAGACACAGGTGTTGCGAATGCGGGAGGACTTGCCGAACTTGGTGATCTCAGCCTGAATCTGGACAGCCAACTCACGAGTGGGAGCCAGGACAAGGACGATGGGACCATCGCCAGGAGCAAGGAGAGGCTGAGCGTTGATGTGAACAATAGCGGGCAGACAGTAGGACAGAGTCTTTCCGGAACCAGTCTCGGCGATACCGACGACATCACGACCAGAGAGGGCCATGGGCCAACCCTGGGACTGAATGGCAGTGGGGGCGTCGAAGCCCTGTGCCTTGACCTCAGACAGGACGTACTGAGGGAAACCAGCCTCATCGAAGTTCTCGACAGGGCGGGGGACATCTGTGCCCTTGATGGCCATGTTCTTCTCCTTGCGGAAAGCATCGACCTCTTCCTGCGAGCGGGCAGAGACATCCGGGTGCTCCTTGTAGAAGGACTTCTCGAACTTGGGCATAGTGTTAATGTCTAATTAATTCACTTGTTAGTGTTTTGCGATCGGTAAAAGACGTGCTTGCAAGGAACTCACCCCACTCCTGAACCTTCAGGTTCTGGCCAAGGGCAGACATGCGGTCACCGCCGCGGTCACCACCACCACCGAAGCCTCCTCCACGGCCACCGCCGTAACCACCACCACCTCCTCCACCGTAACCACCACCACCGCCGCCGCCATAGCCACCACCGCCGCCGCCGCCGGAGTAGCCATTGCCGCCGTCATTGCGGGAGCTGAAAAGATATTGTTAGCTAGGGGGTTCAACTCGAAGTGTGACAAGCGCATTTTTCGTTCCGGTCGTAGCAGGCAACACCTGAAACCCAGCCCAACAAGGGCCGAACGTAATCAAATGTGCGAGTTGCAGCCAGACATGTTTGAGGAACATAGCAAGCACAAGAGGGAGGTCCTCCAAGCATAAGACCATGCCGGAGAGGCTCCCTTTGCAGGAGGAAAAAAACTTACCGATAGGAATCGCCACCACCGCGCTGGTAACCACCACCGTAAGACATAATGAAGGCTTTTGAAGGTCGGTTTCTTTGAGGATAGGGTAAAGAAGGAGAGAAACCGAAGATGAGAAATGAGACGAGAGAAGGGAACCTGAGTGAAGATGGGTTCCTCGTTGAATTTGAAGAAACAAAGGGGAGGCGCGACAGGAAAAAAAAAAAAAAGGCCCTAAGAGAGGCGCGGACCCGCTCGCTGAGTCAGCGTGTTATTCGCCCCTTCCGGATTTTCAACGGTCGACCGTGGTTCACCGTGAAATAACAATTGCTTTGGTGAAAGGAGGCAAAGGGGGCGAAAGCATATTCCGAAATTTGAAGTTTTTGAAGAGTGATTGTGTAGCTAGGGTCTGTTGTCCCATGTAGATTCTTTTCGTCCCAAGTCACCCTATATACAGATTTTTTCTCATTGCCGATAACATCTCACACCTTCTTATCGCTTAGACCCATATCCCAGAAACTAATCTCCAGCTCCGTAGCCCGGATGAAAATCTTGATCAACTCTTCCATGCGACTGGGGGATACCAGCTTCATGTGACTTTCTAGCAATTCTGTTTCGAATTCAAATTAGCGGAACCCAGACAATTCCAGAAGCTTCACTTACCTGATCCGAGTCGCACGGCTTCGGAATAGTCCTCGGCGACGTAGTTCTCAATCCACTTCCAGAACTGGTTTCCTTCACGGAGAGTCTCGGAATCGGTGTGGAGTCGTTTGGCAATAGCACCGTATCCGATAAGACAAGGTGCAAGAGCCATTTGCAGTGCGAGCCAATCTTCCGATTGTCCTACGTCGAGAATGTATCGGCTGTACGCGGTACATGCTATTTAAGATTAGTCTAGCGACAGATCCGCTGGATATAAAGGGGGAATGTCCTACCAATAGTCTCCTTGTGGGCCAGCATCTCCGCTTTGGAGAGACCGAAGGAAGCGCAGTAATCCACATGCAGAGCCATCTCTCGCTCGATATGTAGAACGATTTGAGCGGACTAGAATGCCCGAGTCAGATGGGATCAGAAGAAAACAGCGGAAGGATACTCACTGCTGCTATTGAGTCCATGCTCTTGGCCTTGTACGATGCAAGTGCATTACTGCGAGCGAATTGGACCTGCAAGATCTGATTAGTAGCGTCTCAAGAGTAAACCCCAAAAACAGAACTCACCAGGTAGAGATAGTCCTGCACAAGATACTCTTTGAATCTCTGTACAGGAAGCGTACCCTTGCCCAGACCCTCAACAAAATCGTGATGGGTGAATTTCTGCCAAATTTGCTGGACGTCCGGGCGATCCATAATGTATTCCAGGAACCGGCCACTGGGTTCAGTCAGTTGATATTTTGTTCAAGTTTCATTGAGTATGGCGTCACATACGGTGCAAAGGGCATAGTGTAGATCGAGTGGAAATGGTTGATAGGCCCACTTCCTTTACCCAAGTCGGTGCTGGTCTTGATTCCCGCTTCGACGAATCGCACGGCGCTGCGAACAGCTCTCACCATGTCTTTTCCTTGGGCCAGGTTGGCGGCGATTGCCGAGGCGAGTGAGCAGCCGGTGCCGTGCGTGTTCTTCGAGACTAAGTAGTCTGTCTCGAACAGAGTTGCTTTTTCTCCATCAAAAAGAATGTCGATGACCGTGGTCGCTTCTTGCGGGTTTTTGGCAGTCTTGTGTTCCTTGGTCAGAGGGATATGGCCACCCTTGAGGAGCACTGCCTTGGGGCCTAGCGAACAGATTTTCTTGGCCAGTTCAACCATGCCGTCAAGATCCGCTGGCTCCGGAGCTTCTGCTCCCGCATCCTTGAGCAAGAGCTGTGCTTCGGGAATGTTCGGGGTTAAGATTGTCGTAAGCGGAAGCAGTTTCGTGCGGAGCCCTTTAACGGCCTTCTCAGGGAGCAGCTGCGATCCACTCGTGGACACCATGACCTGATTGACAGTCAATATGAGCCTTGTTCAAGAATCGAAATGGGATGTTAGTTACCGGATCGAGGACAATTGAGGGAACTCGATGGGTTTGCAATGTTTCCGCGATGACATCAATCGTCTCGGCAGACGACAGCATACCTGTCCAAGTCAGTAAAAGAACTCATACCACGCACAGATATCGGCAGACTGACCGAGTTTGACCACATCGGCACCGACATCTTCCAAACCAGCATTGATCTGCTTTCTGACGAACTCGGCTGGGATGACGAAGATGTCTTGCACACCGAGTGTGTTCTGGGCCGTCAAGCCCGTTGTGGCAGTGAGAGCATAGCAGCCATGGGCGGCTAGAACTCTTTGATCGGCTTCCAAGCCCCTTCAATCCCGTTAGCGTACGTTCGAGCTTCACATGGACCCATGGCAGGCACGATGCGGCATTGGGAGTACCGGCCTGATACCGTGAATGTCGGGGGACTTACGCGCCACCAGAGCTATCAGATCCCGCAATGACTAGGACCCGCTTGACTGACATGATTAAAAGAGCCAATTGGGGTGTGAAAATAAGGGAAAGTGAACGACTGGGGGTCTTCAAGTGCGGGATCAGGCAAAAGTCGAGATAAGATAAGACAGACACGGGTTTGGCGGGGCTAAAGGCTTCTACGGCTTCGGCTTCGATGGTGTATACAACTTACGAAAGTTATATCCGAAAGTAAATGATGCAAATGCAAATTGATTCTGATTCCTGTAAGCCCTTCTCAGGAGGCTCATTATTTACAAATTCCCTAAAAAAAAGTCGTACGCCACCGGGGCATTTATTGTAACATGAAGCGGAAAATAGTATCCATCTCGACCCATTGCCGGCCGCACTTCTTCAGGTAGCTGTCAACCACCGTCTTGATAGTATCAAATCGTGTTCGGTTAAACTCAGCGAGTGCTGTCACACTGTCCTTCTTCTCTCCAGATTCCTTGGTGGCAGCAGCCTTGGCCTTGTCGACATCCCAGAGGCCGGCAAAGTACAGAAGCTGATTGTAGATCTGCTTCTCGGTGTATTCATACGACATTCGACCAAGACAGCCGTCGGCACGGCCGCGCGGGCCCAGACAGCGGTGTCCGTAAACGCTGATCTGGCGGGTGCGGTTGCCGCAGGACGAGTCATCACAAACGAGCCATCCCTCATAGTATCGGGCAGTCTGTTCGCGGATCTGGCTTTCCAGCTGGGCGATAATAGTCAGGACTGCGAAGGGTTTCTGACAGTTCTGATTTGGGCAGACAATGCCGTTTGCGGAGCACATTTGTGATGAACCTGCCAAACCCTCGAAGACTGATTGCTCCTTGCAGGAACGGCACCTCAGGGTCAACCGCGCTGCCTCGGCAAAGCGGACGGAGTCCGGAACTTGTGACTCCAGAGGGAAGATCTCTGCGTTTTGACTGTTGCTTGCACTGGAAGTGTTGATTTGGTACTTGCGAGTGTCAAGTCCAAGACACTCGGCCAAGCGGACAGCATCGGTTCCGGGGATCGGGGCACACAGACGCTCAATAGGAGGGAAGATTTGCTTGAGCAGGTAGAACTCGACATCCGGCTTGAGCCCTGAGTTCGACTTCAGCACATCTTGTGGGCTATAAGATCGCTTGGCAGGAGGAAGAGAAGCGGTTTCCGAGTCTCCACTGGTCACAATGTATGAGATGACATCGTTCGGTCGTATATTCTTGCCTCGGGCTATATCTCGGAGGGCGACTTGCGCTGGAGGCATGCTCTCCTTGTTCGGGTATTCATCAGGTCGTTTGGACAGTTTCTGGTTTACCGATGTCAGCAATGGCGGTCTGAGCCTTCCGTGAGCTTTCACATACCGTGTAAATGACATATTTCTGAGCAGGGACAGCAAACTCCTTCATTTTCTCGGCGAGCTCCCGCAGGTACTCATGGACCTTGTTCAGAACAACCTCCTGGTCCTCGCCAGACAAGATTTCATTAAGAAGTCGAGCCGACACTTCCTTGGAAAGAGCACAGTATTCACGGCGCTTCATATCCAGACCCTTCACCTCCAGCTTTTCAACGTACTTGCCGTCGATCTCGGTTAGATTCACAGCAGCGTACTTCTTCTTGGCATGCAAAAGGAGCCGGCGGAAGACATTGTCAATGTCGATCTCCAGTAACCGATACCGCTCGTTGACAGCCTTCTTGAACTCTTCACCGACCTTGAGCGCCTCACTAATGGTATCCATGTTGGTGTTGATCATGACGGAATCAGTATCACCGTAGATGACACGCAGGTTGGTACTTTCGGCAAGCTCCTTCGTACTTCTCAGAATCTCACGACCTTTGAAGGTGGTGAGCATGGCCAGTGGTCGAGCGTAGAATCGGCTTTGGGTATAACCCAGACATCCGTACATAGAGTTGGCAGTAAGCTTGAACGCAAGTTGCTTCGTGTCCCACAGAGCGAGCTGCTCGGGCGTGGCACGCTTATCTTTCATCAACTTCTTGACTTCGCGTCTACGGCCGACCAAAGTAGCAATGAGCCGCGGCAGAATGCCTTGTTCGGAGTCCGATGAGGGGACCTCGGGCACTTTCTCATCGTTCTCATTCTCAGCCTTAAAAGAGATGTTAGTATCAAGTCCCAAGCTTTCTAGACCTGCTGTAAGATGCTCACCGTAGAGTGTCGGTCGACTGTTGTGAAACAGATGTTGTACTCTTGAATGATACTAGGGTACAAACTGTTAAAGTCCATGACCAGGATGAAACGGTCATACAGGCCCTTCTCGGGCTCGAAGACAAGACCACCCTTATACTTGTCCTTCTTTTTCTTGTCGACGGTCTCATCATCATCGCCATCCTGCATCAGCTTCTCCTCAGCTTTCTGCAGACGCGAAGAGTACTTGTCTGGACAAATATACTTGTTGCGGTGGAACTCGTGCAGCAGAATGTACTCGTTACGCTCTGCACGGGTACCGCTCAGAGTACGTGCCCAAGAGTTACCGGCAATGTTGGTCAGAACCTTGGTGAGTGGCAGCATCTGCAAACGCAGCACCAGGGCAGCGATAAAGTATGTGTCGGTGTCGGCATGGTTGACGAAGTTCATCAGGCCCTCTTTCGTGGACGCCCATGACTTCAGGGCTGCTTCGACATCGAGATCTTGACGGTTATTGCCCTCGCCGAGATAAAGCTGGCACATTTCCGTCAAGCTCCACGATTGACATTTCATCATGAGAGACTTGCCCATATCATTGGCAGTATCACAGAGCAGACGGCCTGCGATAAGCTGCCTCTCAGCAAAGAAGCTACCTCCTTTGTTAAAGTTCTTAGGCCAGTCACCACGCCTAAGTCGGCCGATGCGGTGCCATCCAGGAGTCTTTTTCTCTCGCATGCGATTAAGAAGAATGCTGAGGTCAACGTCCTGTAGCTGGTGACCCATGATAACGTCAGGATCCATCTTTTCGAACAGGGCCAGGAACTTGCTCAGCAAGAACTGCTCGCTCTTCTCCAACATGAAGGTACCCCGCTGCTTCCGTGTCTCGGCTTCGAAATGCATCGGGTATGAGGTACCAGAAGGTCGCATCACAGTGAAAGTCTTGCAAGGAAGCTTCTCGGGCGGAGTTGTGTCTGTCAAGGAGATATTCTCGTACACTCGAGCACTAGCCAACAAGATCTCCTGCTTGTTCTCCTTCACATTGAGCTGAGTTCGGAAAGACAAACTCATCAGGGTTAAAGGCGGCATCTCCAGGTTCTCAGAGTCGGGGACCGGGGAGATGAGCGCTGGCTTGGAAGCCTGACACTCGAACTTGCACCAGGATGCGTTGTTAACCGCTGAGAAATCGGCTTCATCAATGCTCAACCAGCAAGGGCCCATGATGTTCTTCCAGAGAACGAACTGCTCGAAGAGGGAGGTGTTGGTACCGAAAACATGGGAGAATGTCTCTCCCTTGATGTCCATGGGAAGTGCAGGCTTGTGATATGGATACAAAAGTTTCAAGTATTCGGCCTCCTTGGGGACACCGGGCATCTCGAATGCGTATTTTCGAGTGCAAGGCTTGATCTTGTGCATGCCGACCTTCATCCGCGACATCGTGTCATCAACCTCTTGGTAGACGTCTTCCATACCAACCTCCTCTTCTGTCTCTCTTCCATGCTTCACCCGGTTCTCACGGGGGAGGAAGTAGAGCTTTCGCAGGACGTTGTCGACCTTAACGAAGGCACTAGCATATGAACCGTTCTGCTTATTCTTAACCTTTCCAAACAGACACAGAGCCCCATTGACCTCAGTATAGTCCAGCCAGAAAAAACGTAGGCTGCCGTCTTCCTCCACAACATCCTGAGCTCGTAGCTTTCCGAAAGTGCGCATCTCCGGTGCCGGGCTGCTGAGAACGTTCAGCTTGCTCCGGACATCATTCCACGAAGGATCCATGACTTCCGGTGCAGCCTTAGCAGGTGATGAGCTGGCGGGCGTGGGGAGAATCTCCTTTTTGAGCTTGGGAGGTGGCCGGCTACCGGTCATGTTGATATTGGCTGTCTTGATGTTTGATGAGACAGTAGCCTCCGCAACGTCCATCATGTCGATATCATCCTCATCTTCCTCTTCAGTCTTCACCGGAACGATAACACTCTTCCGCTCGACGGCTTTGGTGATTGGGGAAGAAGGCATGGGATCGCCCATATCCACGTCGTCGTCGTCAGTCATAGGAAGCGGGCCGTCATCGAGGTCGTCCGAGTGAAGGGGCTGCTCCTTAATTGGCGGGGAGCTGGGAGCATCATTTTCGTCTTTTGCACGGGGCTTTTGCTGTCGTTTCTCGGACCAAGGTGGGGATAGAACGCGGACCTTGCGACGGGCCTCGGATTTCACAATGCTCGGGGTAGGGACTTTATTGAAAACCACGTTTGTGTTGACCTCACCGAGCAGATCTGCCATGAAGGCGTCATCCTCAGCAGTAGCAACGGGCTAAGGTATTGTCAGCACGGGGCATGATTGTAGCATACGTCGAGGACTGCACTCACCTTCGGTTTGGGAGCATTTGAGGTTGCTTGACCAGCATTGAAGTATTTTGAGATGCCGTTGTTGATCTTCTCTTTCCGTTGCTTCTCCTCTTCGCGCTTTCGCTTGGCCACTTTGCCACGGGCTGGCAGTTCATCGCTATCTTCACTGTCGTATTCTTCTGTGCGTTCGTTCCACACTTCACGGCCGTCGTCTGCGTAACCAGCACCGTTATCGTCGACAACGAAATCGTCTTCGTCTAAACGGCTGCGGATGACTTTTTTGTAGCCGTCGTCATCCACCTCATCGTAAATGTCGCCCTGGTCCTCAATTTCATAAGTGGAAATGCGCTTCTTGCCCGAGGCACGGAGGGCCCTCAGCTCAGCCAATCTGTCACGAGCAGAAGGCATAATTTGTGATGTTACGAGCAAAGGCCCATCAAATACGTGGGACTAGAAAACAACGAGTGGGGAAAGGGAGGATTGAAGGGAGTCGCGCCCTGGATCTAGCACGAGACGCGATCCGCGTCGCGTCCGCCCACTTAAAGTGGTTATGTAATAGCCACGCGCCTTGCTGCAATTGATAAGATGGTCATGTGACTTTGTGTACTATACTTATCCCTTCTTTTCTGCGTTTACTCTTTCTTTTTTCTCGATTTGACATCCTCGGTCTCTAGGCTAGAGGAATTATCGGTGTAGGAGGTTGGATTCAGGAAATCGAGTGCAGAAGATGCAGCCGGACGTTCTCTTGATAGTGCTCTTGGGCTCCATTTCTGGAACCTAATATCATGGGCTGTCAGCTTTTCTGAAAGCCCCAACCATTTTAACAGCCTGACAATGTGTCCATGAGAAGTGACTTGCTCTCATTCAGTTATACTTGCAACAGATATGCATCACATTCTATATACTCGGAGGTTTGTACCCTTACTAAGAATACATAGTTATTCACAGTCTCTCGTCAGTCATCTTAGTGGCAAACCTTCTTGTAGCCCACAAGCCCATACCCTCTTGTACATTCAGTTCCTTCTCTAAAATAGCATCAATTCCAAGGTAAGCCAACACTTACATAAAGCAAATAGACCCATGTTGAGCAGTTCTAATGGCCCTTGTATCATCTTAACCTAGAAAATCAAGTTTATCTTGGCCCACTGTCCGTTGTCACCTGAAATCAGCTGTGGGGTTACTAACGTTCACGGCGATCGATCGTCATGTGTCCTATAAGTGTTCCTCCCCACCTTCTTTACCTCCCCCACATCTTTATACCTGTTTGCCTATCGATGCTCCAGCTCCAAAGCTCTTAAGTCAGACGTCGTGATCGTCGACGAAGCACTCAATAATGAACAACATTCTGTGGCCTACAATTTAGCAGCGATTCGTCTACTTACAGATGACATGCCGCTGCGGCCTTGTTCAATTTGCTCACTCACATTCTCCGATCACATTCAAGCCTGGATTTGTGACATCCCATGCAAGTGTCCATTGCGTCCCTTTCGTGGGACGGTCGTGGTTCAGAAACCTTGTCGGAACGCCCTCGAACCCCCGATGGGACTGTTTCTATCACCCCGAAGCGTCGAGAAATTTAGCGGTTAGAGAGAACCAACTAGCTCAGCCGATCAATGCTAATGGGATGGATTTCGCATCTAGCGCTGTTCTCAGAGATACACCGATCTCCTATTACCTTTCTTCATATCACGATTCGCCCTTATTATCCATTGATTTCTTGTTCTTGCCTCTTTGCGTCTATGTATCCCGCTAAACCGCTCGGAGGATAGGCCGCGACAACCGATGTGGTGGGCCGACGCTTGCCACTTGGGACAACGGCGAGTCCGTTGGGGGATCTTGATGGGTAGATATCTCATGCTTGTCAAGTGTGGAGGACTTGAAGGTGGCTATGATGACCCTGGCTCTACCAATGATGATCAAGAAGGAAACCCGAAAATCTAGGGTCTCGGAAGTAAATTAACAAGAAAGAGCAGCAGAGGAAGGCAAGATCGCTTGACAAATTAAATCTGCCCGTCCCCAAACGAATCAACAAATACACGACAAGGAGGTTGAGAGTCCAAGGATGGTCCATGGTGAGGCTTCCGGGATGAAGAGCAGTCTACGAATTCACTTGATATCAAGCGTCAAGAGCGTATTTCCTCTTCAGCATGACCGACAATCGTTTCGACGATATCCTGTGTCCCAATTAGACAGCTATTAGAAGTCTGCTATGAAAGACTTGCTTTTAAATGTGTTGTGACCAGGTACCATGGGTGATATGCCTCTGGTATCTGTCAGATAGGCGTCACTACATTGCCCTTGATGCGAATCGAGTAAGTAAGCGGAAATAGGGATACGGACAAGTGGTTTGGGAAGCATCATTGCATGGAAACGAGCGTAGGAGAATCTATGTGGAATTTATCTAGAGTTAGAGTAGCCGGTAGATGCCATAGCCAGAATTGCAACGAGAGGCGAGCCAATACGTGCTGCTAAACAGGCGTGAAGTTGTCGACGCATATGGAACGTGCCTATCGCCTGGAAAGCTAGCGAGAATTTCCAAGTAGGTCGAGGCTCTATGAGAACCTTGAAGTCTACGAAGTAAGCCGCAATTGAACAAAATTGAAAACCCGGTGTTATTTGAGCAGATTTTCCTGGCCTATGCTAGGGATATTTTTCCAGCCGTGAAGTACAGCGCCAGTAAAAAACATAGGATATGCTAATCCCCTCCAGCAACCGGCACCGGGAAAACCGGTCCTGTTCCACCCACATGAGCGGTCACGTTCTCCAACCGCTCATGCCAACAACCAAATCCTCCCAATACCCAGTCCACCTAGAAGAAATCCATGAAAACAAGTCGTGAGATGAATAAGAGACATGAGTTCCACGGACCACCACCGTTTTTTTGTAAATTCCTTTCGCCCGCAATAATGAGAGAAAGAGAATTTAACGGTAGGACTTCTGGTAACGGGAGCGGGCACCGCGACCACCGAACTTCTTGGGCTCCGCGCGGCGGTTGTCGGCAACGAGCAGGGTGCGGTCGTACTGGACAAGAGCCTGCTTGAGCTGGTTCTTGGAGTGCTCATCAACGTACTTCTGGTAGTAGGCGACAATGGACTTGGCGATGGCCTGACGGATGGCGTAGACCTGGGAGGTGTGACCACCACCGGTGACACGGACACGGATGTCGACACCGGCGAACTTGTCAACGCCGACGATCAGGAGGGGCTCGTAGACCTGGCGAAATTCATGTCAGAAAAAAGCGATTCGAAACTTGATGCCGCTGCCTATTTCCTTGAAAGGTTCCTCCTCTTGCAAATCGATTTCCATCGATTCCATTGGCAGATCTGTGTGGGCGGATGCGAATGTGCGTACCTTGAAGCGGAGGATCTCGGGCTGGACCAGGGAGAGGGGCTGGCCGTTAACCTTGACGAGGCCCTTGCCTTGCTGTAAAATCGAAAAAGTCTCAGCATGCTGTTCATCCAGCTGTTGTGTGTTCCATGCGCCGTATGTGTCTTCAACATTCGCCCTTCCGAAAAACCCGAACCATCGAATTCCTCTCTAAATCCCTTCCATGCGCAGCAAATTCCTCTCGAGTTTTCTTTCCAGGCGTATCCGACACAATGGGCGTAGGGAATGGGGAGAAGATTCCGTCTTCATACCTTGCAGTGGGCGACAGCGGTGGCTATTGAAGATCATCAGTAACGAAATTCTCACGAGTCGCTCAAGGCTCGGGGGAGGACGCAAACTCACCCGTCTTCTTCTTGCCGAAGCATTGCACACTCGGGACGGAAGCCATGGTGAATAGATGGCCCTTGTCGGTGTCGATAGGGAGGGAGTGTGTTGTCGTGGGAGATGGAAAAGAGTCGACCGCGAATTCCCACACTGCAGCGATTCGCCTGAATTGCCCTTTGGTGCGGGTTTCGCTTAGGGCACACTAGTCTTAATGGGGTTAGTCTACAGCCTGGCTTAGGGCTCGGTCACATGATATGTCTCTAGTCACGTGCGCGGACAACATCGGAGTCTGGAGGCGCAAAGTTCGGGGTTGCGCTGTGAGATCCGCGTGCTTGCTCTGCTCTCCGTCCCTCCTTTCATCATATCCAGACAACATGTCGCAGACCGTTGGCAAGGTAAACATTGCCACCAGGTGCTATTTGATAGCACCCAACCCCCCAATTGCGTGGAGCTGTGCCTAACAAGTGTTGATAGACCCGTCTTGCGTACTCCCGGGCATGGCACTATGTTGATGCCGGTTCAGACCCGCGTTCGCTCGGCCGTCTGGCCTCCGGTATTGCCCTCGTCCTGATGGGCAAGCACAAGCCTATCTACGACCCCTCAACAGACTGCGGTGACTACGTTGTCGTCGCCGGTTGCCACGATCTCCGAACGACCGGCAAGAAGCGTTTCCAGAAGAAGTACTACCACCACAACACACGGCCCGGTAGCTTGAAGAGCATGACAATGGATCAAATGTTTGAAAAATGGGGTGGTGGTGAAGTTTTGCGACGCGCCGTGAAGGGCATGCTGCCCAAGAACCGTCTCCAGGATCCCCGGTTGGCACGACTGAAGAGTAAGTTTTGCCAAGATCATGCTGTACAATCAATTCCCTAGGGAATTTTTAGCTCGCAGCACTTAAGTTTCCGGATAATAGACTAACGATGCATATAGCTTTCGAGGGTCTCGCCCATCCTTACAAGGAGAACATCGTCAAATTCGGCAACGAATCCGTCCTAGGCAACACTAAAGTGCGGGAAGCTTTTGAGGAGGCCAAGACGGAAGCCACCGAAACTAAGGCATCGGCATAAACCCCTTCTTTTCTTTTTCGCATTGTTTTTAACCCCTTGGGGTCTGTGTAATCTAGTCTGCGTTTATGATCCAAAACCGCAAGCGCATGGGTGTGGAGTCCAAATTTTTCTGGGAAATGTACCATTCTGATTCTCTTTGCCGTTTGACTACTTTGGATCTACTCTATCATTTAGGTAGGGTGGTTTTGATCTCCCCTTGGCATGTACTATATAGCAGTCCGAATGGAAATACAAAAGAGAAAATTGAGTGCCAATTTCATAATCAATTGATTGGGGCGTCATGACCGTGGTATATAATGACAGAGATTTATGTACAGGAAGAGTATGCTAAGAAGTATAGAGCGCGTTGCTGACGTTGGCACGTTTACAACTTGGCCTTCTGGTTGCGGGCAACGGTGCACTTGATGAGACCGTTGGGGCCGGACTGGGGGGCGTAAACCTCGGCGTCCTTGCCAGTGTTCTTGGTGCCCTTGTGCCAGCTGAGGTCTACGAGATAGTTAGTACAACGTCTTTTGATCTTGCTTTTGGGAAAGAGTGAAAACATACCGATCTCGAAATAGTGGATGTTGGGCAGGGCGTAGGAGACAGTGTCGAGATCCGGCACAGCAGCGAGGATCAGCTCGCTCATCTTGTACATAGTGGCCTGGACACTGGCGCTGTTATCCTCGGCGAAGGTCTTGAGGGTGGTGTTGCGGGCATTCTCCCAGGCGGGGTTGAACTTGTTGGCGTTGGCCTTGACCTCAGACAGACCGCTGAAGCGGCGCCACTGCCAGCTGGCATCAACACTGGTGCTCAGAATACGGTCCCAGGTCTCCTTGAGAGTGGTGAACTCGTCGCGGAGGAAGCTGTGGAACTGGGAGCCGGTGCTCTTGAGGACAGTCAGGCCGTTGATGGAGGAGTTGATATCGATACCCTTGCCCTCGACAACATCAACCTGGACATTGCGAGTCTCGCCACCCTCCTTAACGAAGGAGTGGGGGTGAGGCTTGCCGTCAATGTCCATGCGCACCCAGCGGTGGGTGATGATGTTAACGTGAGCGGCGTGGATGTGGCTGTACTTCTCGATGAAGTGATTTCCGAGAATGGAGCCGAACAGCTCGGGGGGAGTAACGGGCTGCTGCTTGGCAGTGATGTAGATGGTGTTCTTGATCGAGTCGGTGGCCACGACGACGCTGTTGTCGGCCTTGGTGTAGCTGTTTGCCGTGGTTAGCCGGTGACGCTGATAAGGAATGCGAATGTGAATGCGCGCCAACTTACGAGGTCTCAATATCGCCCTCCAGCAGAACGCAGACGGTCATCTCGACCACGGTCTGCTCACCGGTCTTCTCATCGCGGTGAACCTTGTACACGCGGACATTGTCCTTGCCGTAGCGGGCAGCGGCGAGAGAGTTCATGATGACGGTTAGAGGATAGGAAGTTTATGGATAAACGGCGAGGGTCTGAAATCTGAGATTGAAGCTGTAGAGTGCTAGAGAGGAGAATAGAGGACAGGACCAGTATTTATTGGAATAAAGGGCAAAAAATGGGCTAATGCGGCCAACAAGAAGGCATCGGGCACCTCCGATGGCCGCGGCCGCCCACTATCTTATCGCCCTGCAAACAGCCCAAACTTCCCCAGATTGTGGCTTTTGTCCTCCCTTCGTGGCTCAATCGTATGAGGGTGCTGCATGTCAGATGCTCCTTACCTGGTCTAGTCGCCTTTGGCATTTTCCGAGAGGCCTTTGTTCCGATTACCCGCCAGGTGAGGTTGTTGTGGTGGAGCAGCTTGACTTTCCAGGTCCGAAATCCGAAAATCCGGATTCCGAATCCACTCTCGTCCGCCATTCAGGGACCTTCTGTTTCGCGTCTCTGGCTCCACTCTCGGCGACCTCCACTACACTCACTGCGGAGAGATGCGCTCACGAATAGACGTAAGATCCTCGGGATTTGAGCTCGGGATCCTACATGCGTGGAGAATAAGGTATGAGGCTGTAACCTCAAATCCAGGAGTCATTGGTGATGTCCTTCAATCACGGATTGGGGATGCGCTATCGATAAAATGTCATTTGTATTGTCATTTATACGACACCTAGTCTGATTGGGACTCAACTAATCTAGACACAGCAGTTCACGCACAAGAATTCTCAAAAGCATTTCATTATACTCAGATCCATCGAGCTATGTGCAAACCATTAATCCCGAGATTCTTCGCTGATCCCATCACTGCTCAATTCCAGCTATTATCTTTGAAAGTACCTCTACGACATGATACTTGAAGAAGATGCATACAGCATCCTGTCACGGTATATGCAAGCCCAGTATCAAACATTTAATCCCCCTCTCCAAGCAAGTACCATAATAAGCCCGATTTACCTCGCCAACGTCCATCCGGCGTCCAGACTCTGCCCGAAATGGCATGCTTTGAATATGAGCGGGCGTAGAAGATCTGCAAAATAAGAGTGGAGAATCGTGGCTCACCCACAAAGCAAAAGAGACATCGAGGAGCTTTCATGCAGTTCTTCACGACGAGCAAAATGGGCCTAGGCATCACAACGACTGGCGCAGGCAACCGGAGCACTGGTCAGCAGTCAGACTTCCGGGAACGACTGATCAAAGAGTACAACGCTAAGCATCCTACGGAGGAATTTCTTTGGTGCCCTGTTCTTCAAAGTTGGCTTCACAGACGTTCAGTCGTTGCCGCACACTTGTTCGCCTATAAGCATGGGCAGAGTGTTGTGGATGCTATCTTTGGCGAGGCAAAGGAACCCGAGCTCTTTTCACCCTTCAACAGCATACTCGTATCACCATTCATTGAAGTATTCCTAGATTCTGGGCAGCTGGTCATCGTGCCAGATCTGCCAGACCGGCTGACGTTCTCAACGTTAGTCGCATGGTTAACCGGTGACGTCCGCAACTTGACCTCGTGGACAGCCCAAAGAACGACCCCGAGCGAAACAATTCTCAAGTCACTGCGCACGACTCCCATTGTCGGGGTACACAAGGCAGAGTGTCGTCGCAAGGGCGACGGATACCCATCCATGCAAGAGGTCATGCACACAGAAAAAATCGAGAATCGGTATAGATGATATTGCACATGAACCCAAATTCTTTTCCTTTTGTTTCTGCGTACGAGCTCACGGGCTCGCGGTGATAGATCCGAGCGAATCCGGCACCTGGTCTCGTTCGCAGTTCTCAAATCGGATTCCAGGATCGAAGTATGTACCCGGTGCATCTGATCAGTGGCGTTGTATCTGCAACGTCAATTGATCGGAGGTTATGTTGTAGAGGTCATGACGAGGTGCAGGGTGTGGGACGTAGAGGACAAAGTCGGTGTAGGGGGAGGCTCTTGTACGAGGGTATCAAACTTGGGATGTTGACCGATCGTTGCTGTTTTTCGCCTCCATATTTGGCCTGAGGTCTAGTATTTAGTCTTGGGTTGGCGCACGCTTCTTCTCATTTCGAGAAACTAGTTTGCAGTCATGAGGGCACTTCTGACGTCCAAGGCGATTTTGCATAATCGGCAGCCTCCATGGGGATTGAAGTTGCGATCGTCGACGGCCTTTATTGTTGCAACGGTTTGGATGTCTACTTTCACGGTATGTACAAGCCATATCCGGAGTATCTCAGGCTAAATGAAGGAAACAAGGATTTCCTCCTCTACGCAATGGTAAGTCAAGACACTATACCCGAGAATAAGAGTATAATATTGAGTAGATCGTTCCTGTTATGCCCACGGCACTTATGACCCGGGCCGATGTCGAGTACGATGATCGTAGGTTTCAATTCCAGGCCTGTCAATCGCAGATTTATAGGTTTCTCAGGAGAATACTGGGTCAGCGTCCTCCTCATGTGCGAAGCCGGCACGGCCCTTATATTCTGTCCGATCTTCGGATACCTCGTCGACCGAGCCCGCACCCGCCAGCTCCCCTTCTTCGGTGCACTCATCCTGCTAGCCGGATGCATGGTGATCCTACACATATCTCATTCATTAGAATTATTCGTCATAGGTCGACTGTTCCAGGGCTGTGCAGGTGCGCTAATGGTGGTGGCTTCCTTTGCGCTGCTCAACGACTCCGTGCCACAGGAGCGTCTCGGGCAGAGTATCGGATATCTAGGTTCCGCTATTGCTTCTGGTTTTCTGCTTGGGCCGTTTATGGGTGGTATTGTGTATCATACTGGTGGCTACGATGCTGTCTTCTATGTTGCGTATTCCATCATTGCGATTGATATGGGGATGCGTGTGGCTATGGTTGAAAAGCAAGTTGCCGAGAGGTGGGATCGCAATTCTAGTGGCGAGTCCAATGAGCAAAATACACGAGCTGAGTCGTCAACAGTGTGTAAGGTTCAGGATCAGGCTGCCCCCAGAACGAAACGCTTTGTTATGTTCCAAATCCTTAGACAGAGGCGGGTGTTGATCTCTTCGTGGGCTCTTCTGGTGCAGGGGATATTCTTGTCCGCATTTGATGCGGTATGTTGCAGCGAGCCGAGTCTTCAACGATCGCAAGACTAAACTGGAATTAGACACTATCCATCTTTGTTGAGTCACGATACGGCTGGTCAGCACTCGGGATGGGACTCATCTTCCTTCCGATGGCAATTCCAGCCTTTTTTGAACCATTATTCGGTGCGTGGCAGGGTCCTCTCGGACCATGTGCTCAGCTGATGCTTCACAGGCTTTATCACGGACCGATTTGGAGCCCGCTTGATGGCCTTTAGCTGTTTCCTCCTTCTCTGTCCGGTAATTATTTGCCTCCGATTCGCGGAGACCGACTCCACACCACACATAGCCTTGCTGATTACCCTTCTCTTCGTGATTGGGATATTCATCCACGCATGTGCACCTGCCATGTATGTGGAGACACAGTTAGCCCTGACGGCGATGGAGTCCGCGGAACCCGGGCTACTGGGGTCCAAGGGAGCGGTGGCGCAGGGGTTCGGGCTTCAAAGCATGTGTCAGTTTGCGGGAGTCTTCTTCGGTCCACTCGGCGGCGGGTTTGTGGAGTACCGCTTTGGGTGGGGCGTCATGTCGGCGGTCTTAGGTGCGTTGGCTGCATTGACGGCGATGCCGATGCTGTGGTTGGGCGAGAGGCATGGAGATGCCGATGAGGAGAGACAGCCGTTGTTTAGCTGCTGATCATGTCCACCAGGGCCTGCAAGCTATCACCCGGATTAGTGCAGTCGTTAGCAATGTCTAGTGGCAGCCTAATCGGGCAATCCAGTTGAGTTCCGGGTCGATCGCGTAGACTATCCCAATCGGGTGCTCATTCTACAACGTCACGACAAGACTGGACTTTAAATAGCCCCTCGTATTGCACGATGCTCTCTGTGTCCAGTCTTAACAGTCTTCGATGTCGAGTATCTCTCGCTCTTTGGTGCGACAAGCCGCTAGTCTACAGAGTAAAAGCAGTCAGGTCCGTAGACTGCAAGACCCTTCCAGTCCCACCCACCTTACTGACATCGAGTAAAGAGCGCCTTGAATTTCTCAATCTGCTCCTCCCAATCTACCCTTCACCAGAGAACTCTCCACTCGCATACAACCCGTCACCTCATCAAACCCTCCTTCACGATGCCTCCCACCAACAACCTCTGGCACCTCCAACAACGAGGCCAACCAATCCACACCTCCTCAGACCAATCCAAATACATCGCGCCAGCCGAAACAACCCCCCATAAAGCCACAATCCTCGGCTTCCCCTCCCGCTGCTCGACCTTCCCATCACTCTACACGCGCACCTGCAACGAGATAATCGATCTAGCAGCCACAATCGCGCACTTCGAGCCCGTGCGCCTCCATGTACGCCCCGAAGACCAAGCCCACGCTCAATCCCTCCTGGAAAAACGCATGGCCAGCGCCCCGGCGTCCGAAAAAGCCCGCATCTCTCTAATCCCAGTCGCAACAAACCACGTCTGGGTCCGTGACACAGGCCCCGTCTACGTCCGCGGCGCGGAAGACAACAAGAGATACGCGATTGACTTCCGGTTCTGCGAATGGGGGAATAAAATCGACGAGCTCCTTTACAATAGTAGTGCGGACAAAGCCGCAGCGTTGGAGATCGAGGCTGAGACGGAAGATTGGCCTATTCTAGAAGAACGTGCTAGAAAAGAGAACACGGAGTTTGCAAGTCGGGTTCTGGAGATTGAAAATGCCTCGAATCCCGAGGATCCCGTTACGCGGATTCAGTCGAAGGTGAGGCTTGAGGGTGGTGGGATTGAGATGGACGGGGAGGGGACTTTCATGGCTGCGGAAAGCAGTGTGCTTGTTTCGTCGCGAAATGAGGGTCTTTCTCGCGAGGAGATTGAGGATGAGCTGAGGAGACTTCTTGGGGTGAAGAAGTTTATTTGGATTCCTGGTCGTGAGGGACTGGATATTACGGATTGTCATATCGATGCGGAGGCGCGGTTCGTTCGGCCTGGTGTTGTTGTTGTCTGCAAGCCTCATCCGTCATGCGAGCAGGTCTACTGGGACATTTACAACGAGGCCCGGGCGGTTCTGGATAATGCAACGGATGCGCAGAACCGCAAGCTCGAAGTTCACGATATCGAGGAGCCGGACCCTGCACTGGTGAAGGGTGATGTTCCTGGTGAGGAAAATGCACCTGCGGCGTCATACGTGAACTTCTACTTTGTGAATGGTGGCTTGGTGATTCCTTCATTTGGAGATCCAGAGCCGGATCGCAAGGCTTTTGAACTTTTGCAGAAGCTTGTTCCTGAGCGTGAGATTCGCCAGGTGGCTGTTAATGCGCTGCCCAGAACTGGGGGCGTGTTGCACTGTACCACGCAGCAGGTGCTGTAAAACGGGGCTTCCTTAGGGCTAGGATGGCATTTTCGTGTCTAACAGAACAGGGTTTTGGGTGCTGTGCTTCTGTTCTCTTATCATGTACTTTACGAATTCTATGCAGATCATGAGGCTTTCCTTTCCGTCTCGGAGCATTCAGTACAATCTACCTTCTGGTCCCCACTTTCTCGCTACAGTATTCAATAGCATCGGAGGTCTTTTAGACATTGGATACCCTCACCACTCTCAAGGCAGGTAGATATGGGATCTCTATCAAGTCAGATGATACTCAGTATAGGTACTCTTCCCATCTTTAAGAGACCAAGCTATTCCAACGTACCAAAGGTACGAGCCTAGCTCTCCTCCGTTGTGAAGACGCTTTTCTAAATACGCCGATCTCGTATTTATCTGATCTGTGGGGCCGATCCTCTGATTGATTATGCATTACTCTACGGAAAGGGAACCGAGGCTGACGTATGTCGAGTTTCGAGGTCTAGAATTATCGTCTTAAAAAGACCAGACGTGTTTCTCCCCTTCAGTCCTTTTCCTTCGACTATCTCCGGATCCTCTATCAGCCTACGAAAGCTAAAAGTCAAACTCTCTCAATGGAGGGAGCTATCAAATTCTCAACAAGAATATACATCCATGTCAAGCAGAGCAGAGATCAAGTCTTCAATACACCTCTCCCAAGTACACCATCCAAAGAAGAACGGAAAAGAAAGGGAAAGGACTGGATGAAAAAAAAAACCCATGTAGACAAAGCTGTAAATGTATGTCTTTTTCTTTTCACCTCATCTCGAGGAATCCTGAAGCAAAAACACCTACTCCCAATGCCGAAGATGAACCCCCAAAAGCGAAAGCCAGAACCAAAGCAGCCATAAAAGTCGTAAGCAGGAACGTGCCTAACACAATCCATCCTGAGCCTCGGACAAGTCCTAGAGACTCAACTGATCAATACTCCCAACCCGTCCACTACCACCGAGTCTCCCACCCCCCTTCGTCACCATACCCAGCCGGTAGAATCTCTCTTCTCCGGCCGGCGTCCGGCCACCGATATACCACTTCTCCGGGCCTAGAGCATCACGGAATCCGCCCGAGCCAGATGACGAGTCACTTCCGCGGCGTTGGCGGTCCGGGCCTCGAATCGGGATAGGAGTTGAAGAGGACGGGGTAGGTGGTGGGGATGCGGCGATGGGTGATTCGGAGTGGTAGTGGTGAGAGTGGTGTGTTGAAGTTGAAGAGGTGTGGTTGTGCTGGGGAGCATGTGGGGTCTGGGCGGATGTTGATGCTGATGTATGATGGGACTGGGAGGGTGTGGAGCCGGCGGCCTTGGAGGCGATAGCGCGGGCGGATTGGGAGATTTGGGCGGAGGATAGAGAGGCTGTTCCAGTTGATGAGGAGGATGCTTTGTAGGCTGACTGGGCGCGGAAGGCGGCCAGGAAGTTGGCTAGGAAGGGCCGGTTGGTAGACATGTCGGTGAGGCTCATGTGGTGGCTGTGGATGGTTGTGGGTGATGTCTGGTTGTGATTGTAGTCGGGGTTATGGTTATGGATGCGAGGCTGGAGCGTGGAGAGGGGGATCGGCGGGGGCGCTAAGTAGAAGTCATATCCAAAGTAATCGAAAAAGCGGAGCCGACGTGAACGGCGGGGGAAAGAGAGAAGAGAGATCCCGACTTCAACCTTGGTTGCCCGTGAGGGTCCAATCAGATGCGGGGGATTAGGGACATGACGTCGGAAAGGAAGATTCCGGTTTCGAGGTCGGGAACATCTCGGGTTCTTTTGCCCGCGGAAATACATATCCTCGACGCTATAGAAGACATCAGGCCACTCATTTATAAATCAATCGGTTATAGGCCGTTTCGGCCTTTGGAGTCTGGAGTCTGATGTGTGTCCTCGACGGTAGGGATTCGGTTCTTGCGGTAGCGGATAATCTACTCTATAAGTGACTGGCGGTTATACTGTAAGCTAGGGGAGAACGGTTAAGACTAGTGATAGCGCTAGAGCCTCCGTGTCATAGAAGTAGGGTATCACTCAATATCGTCAAATGTAAAATAAGCTAGTACCCGGGTTATATAGAGGACCTGAGGAGTCTGGGAGACTTACGTATAATATCTGTTATAATAGGACAAACACCGTTGCCAGGCGTATCAATAGTAATAGCCGGAGCTTCTCCAGGGACTTTGATGGTGATAAGTATCACTGCTTAGAATGGGACGAAGTAAAGAGTGAGTAGGCGAACTTACAAACTTACACAAGGGTGAGTCGCAAAGTGGTCATCCGTAACTCATCCGTAACCCCAAGGACGAAGTCATGACTTCCTGAACGGTGACCGAAGACGTCCGATGAACATGATACGCATGGGAGCATTCAAATGTTGATCTGCGTCGCTTGGAGTTGAGCCACATCCCGACATACGACATTGACTTAATACTTTCAACTACATATGAATGTAGTTCAAGGAAAAGAGGATAAAGATAACGGGTCTATTTCTAATGCTTTTCAAGTAGAACTGAAGCCCTGAGGTTGACAAGAATAACACAACACCCTAAATCACACCACAAGCCCGAAGCGCACATATGTCCGTGCCGTGCCGACTGTACTTACAGGAACGAGGCCATGCAGATGCACCGGGGAAAAAAACAAAGAGCCACAAAGAAAACCGGTAATTCGACAGTAGCCTTCCCGCAAAGCTTTTCTCTTTCTGTTGTCGAGTTCGCAAAACACATGCCCATGTCTATAGTGTGGACGCCGAACGAAACCACCCATTCTGCCCACTTCATCAAACAGATAAATGAAAACAATGAAGAAAAAAAAAAAAAACAGATGTAAATCATACTCGCGATTCAACGGCCGTTATCGATAAACCTGTGCCGAGGGAGAAAAAAATGCGATTCCCACACCGGATGGGAAAATGGAAGCAGACGGAGGAATAAGGAGAATATAAAGCCATCAAGGATGCGCAATACAAGAATTGGAATCAGGTCGGTGTACAGACGCAGGAAAGCCGAACAGCACCGCTGCAGGCATAGAGAAATCAGATGACAGAGACCGAGACGATTTTGATCGACACCACATTCGAACTTTTGAAAAGAATCAAGACTGGGTATGCGTCGCTCTTACCGTCGCGGACACACCGTCGTGAAAACTGCATCAGTTTTGTCTTCACCGGGGCTCAGAACGAGTTTTTCATTTCTTCCTGGTCATGCGTGGTGATCCGAACGAGCCGTTTACTGTCTCGCGGGCTGGACGGTTCCTGTAATGAATTAGCAATGAATCTCGAGATAGTCATTCCGAATCGTGGTTGACTTACCATCACCGCTCATAGTAGAAGCAAGGTAAAGACCGTTCATACCGTTCTCGTGGCCGCCCGCGGTCGTAGCAGGGTAGAACTTGCGGTCGGCATCGACGGGGGCATGGATGGACTCCTGGCCAGCGGCCATGGAATGAGGGAAAACGGGATTCATGTAGCCATCGGAGGCACCGTGCTGAAACATCGAAGTCCAGTCAACACCGGGCTGATTGGAATGGGGACCGGGCATGACCGGGTGTTTAGGATCAATGAGGGGCTTTACCTGTTCAAGAGGACGATCAACACTCAGTTGCTGCGCATGGGCGTCGGCACCATGGTGCATGAGGTACGGATTCTGCTTGGGCGCCATCCACGAGGCTCGCGACGCGTGTCCGTTGAATTCGTCACCCGGACGGTTCATGCCGTTGACGGACTGCATCGTGAACCCGAGAGGCTGCTGCTGCTCCGCGTAGCCGGGACGGCCATGGGCCATCCCGTTGCCATTCACGGCCCCATCGCCGAATTGCGCACCCATCACACCGTTGGAAGCCTGGGCAGGAACGGGATTACTGACTTCATCAATAGGCTTAGCGGGGTTGGCCGCTGCAGCAGCCGCAGCCGCCTGTTGAGAGCGCTTCAGATGGGCCTGAGGGTGCGACAAGTGGGTCGCGCCCGTGGGGTTACCCCGGCGGATTGAGCACTTCTGGAAGTGGCGCTTCAAGATATCACTGCGGGAGAAGGTATCCTTGCAGAGAACACACATATAGGGGCGGTCGCCGGTGTCTAGAGATTCCATCGACGCGTCATTAGCATGTTTCTCACTTTCCCAATCGAATTGGAAGGGTTCACTCACGTCGCAGAAGATGACGCTTCAGGTGCTTTGCGTGGAGATAGGTTTTGTTGCAGTGCGGGCAGGGGAATTTGCCATCGGCATCCTTGGCGGGAATGGTGGTACTCTTCGCAGTGCCATTGACCCCGTTGGTAACCGGAGTCGCGCGGCCCGGAACGCTCGGCAGGATGCCACGACGGCCCTGAGAGCCCACGACCTGTGTGCGTGGCGGTTCCTTAGCACCGTAGGGAGAGCCGTTGGCGCCGTTCACATCAGGGCCCATACCCCAGGACTTGCCATCGGAATAGCTGAAAGCACCGGAGGGGAGGCCGTTGAAATCACGGCGGTCACGCGGGGGAGCGGGAGCGATAGGCTGGGGGTAGCTTTGCGCGCTCGACGCGGGGAGGCAACCCGCTCGGGGGCGGGGGTAAGACTGGTGAGTCTGGGGGGAATGGTTAGGATGCGACATGTATGACGGTTGCTGACCGCCGACAGTCGTGTGCGGCATAATAGGAGCCGACGAGCCTCCGTACACGTCGTGTGTCGAGGTCGGGTAGCGACCCAAGTCCGGCCGGTAAGGCTGGCTCATGTAGGGATGCGGCGCGGGCGACTGAGTGTGATGAGGCTGGAGGGGAGGCAGCGTGTGCGGCTGCGACACCGGGTACTGAGGCTGCATCGAGTACTGAGGCATCGGCATACTCGAGATGGGGGTCGAGCCTTGGGGCATGCTGGTGGACGGAGGTCGCGAAGGGTGCGATCGGGGATCCATCACGGGAGGGAGAAGATTGACGAGCTTGGGTGGTGAGAAAGTGGTGTTTGTGTGGGTGTGTGTGATCACGAAGCAATCATCGAACGCGTCTCTCAAATCCTTCACTCGGGAGATTTTTCTTTGGCGAACCTCGACAAGGACTCCTTGTTTGAGATTTTCGGGAAATGGCTCAAGGTCTCGGGGAGGAGCAATTGAAGATCTAAGACTCCACTCGAACAATGTCAGAAAGAAAGAAGCAGATGAAGAAGAAATCCCCACGGCGTCACCCACCAAGAAAAGTCGTGTGGGTTGTGTTTTATCCGCACGTTGTCAGCGTCGATGGGTTCTTGTATCCACCAGGTGGAAGTGGGTCTCGCAGCACAACACTAGTTCAAGATCTCGCGCGTCTCTTTCAACTTTCGAGAATTCGATTTGAAATCGAATGGAGAAAGATCAAGGATGAAAGATGAAAGAATGGAAAAGCGAGGATGTGAAAAACTCTGGAAATGGCCTTCGGTCGCAGAACGGGGAGAGGATGAGGAAATGGGGGAAAATTGGGGGGCGGCCAATTCAGATAAAAAAAAAAAAAAAAAAAAAAGAAGAGAAAAATTAAGAAGGGAAAAAGAGAAAAGGAAAAAAAGAAAATTCACGGCGTGACGGAAGACCGGGACAGCGAAACAGACGATCGTTTCTCGGGGGGGCAAGAGGCGAGGGCAAAAATGGGCGAAAATGAGCAGAAAAGGGAAGAAAAAGAGTATTAGGCGAGTAAAATTACCACCCAAAAACAGGGACCAAACGGACGGGCGTAATTCAATTTCCAAAGTTACGAGCAGTTTGGGTGAACCAAAAGTGGCCTCGGGTGATGACGATATGCGCGGCCGTCTTCCGAGCCCGGAGGAATGGCCGCGAACGTAGTCTTTTATTACTCATTTGGGGTATTTCTCTTACTATAATTGAATCGTAATGGTCATTGCTCTGTTCGTCGGGTTCTAGAGACATATCTCTAGGTAGAATAGAGATATTGGATATAGGATATAGATCTCTGTGGATGCCATGGAGCCTTCCCCAGAAAATACCCAGGTGGATGAGTGTCCACCGTCCAGGGATGCGTTCAGATCCATCTTACTCCGTAGCCCTTACCCCGATTACGGCGCTGCATTCGGACCGTGACTCAATCGTTGCTGTTCATTTGGCCAGAAAACTTCGACCCGGTTTATGCTTTATACTTTCGCGCAGTTGTGCCTTTGATGGGCTCCGCAGTGGCTTGAGCCCCGCAGGTAAACAGATCATAGTGCAGCTGCACCTACTCCAAGGCATGGACAGAGCTATCTATCGCCCTAGGTATAAGAGCTCCGAGAACCAGGCCTCGAACCGGCGAACGGACACTGATCTCCAAGTACAGCACGTCATCTTCGAGGCGTAGCTTCAGCGCGGACCTCGACCGCATCGTGCATAGCCTTTCCCCCTCAGCATGCATGCAACGGCACAAATTCAGCATGCAGGATTGGAGGGGAGAGCAGTCCTATCGATCGCACTCTACTGCAACCCTGGCGCTCTCACGGAGGACGGGTTAACGGCCATGCATTGTTGCGCTACATAGTTTAGTGGATGCGCCGTAGCCGCCTTCACCCATTTCCGTTCTTCGCACGCCGTACGCCGTCCTCCGTCCTCTCCGTACCCGACACTACTCCGACCGTACCCTAAATCCCCTAGACTCCCCCGAACTTTCCTAGGAGGGGCAATTTAGGTGTCCGCAATAGACGGCGTGCAGACTACTACTGCAACCGGCTGAGCCTAAACTGGGCTCTGCCCACTCGTTCTCCCTGGACCGCGCATCGAACCACCTTGGGTCGGGCTTCCATTGGATATGGTGGCTACTTCCGGGGCCTCTGGTTGGTGCCGGGCAAAAATACCCCGAATCTCGACTCGCCTTACTAAGGTTTCAGTGTGCGGGATTCCGAATCCCAGGGGGGGGAATTTGAAGGATGTCTCAGGCTGACTTCCAAGAGGATTTAAATTAAATACTTCCCTGGGTACTGCACAAGGGGGTTTGTTGTCCAGGCCGTAGATCTCCCAGTTCCTGGAAATGTACCTGAAAGATGCGAACAAGTAACCCTGGCCCCTCCGTCTCCACCGTAGAAATTCGCAAGAGCTTCTCCCGCTTCGATTGTGGACCTGAAAGGCTTGGACCAGGGTTCTGCAGAAATCAGCGATCGGGGGGCCTTCCCCTCCCCTCCCCTCGTGACTTCACAGACTTTTATCCGGGCTGAAACTATCTGATCCTTGGCGGGGGGGTTTAGTGAATTCTATGGTCAACACTACGACGTAACAGGCAGGTTGATGGGCAAATTAGGCTCGACTGGGTGTACTCGCTTGACCTTCTAATTTCATCGCGGTATGTGACGGGCGGCTTCCGTCCGGTACGGGAGGAAGGGCCAAAATATTTCACACACACTGTGTGGCTTGATCTACTGCACGCGGCGTGTTGAATCTGGCAGGTCGTTTAGTCGGAAGAACAATTAGGTAGAGCTCGGCATCGGAATAGATCCACAGGGGTCCCGAGACGGTTCGGTCCACGAGGAGCGACTGAAAGTGGCTGATCCCACAAAATACGGTGAGGCTGTTCCGTCGCCCCTTGTCCGTAGTCTATTTGACTGAGATCCAGTCCACAGCGATCGGCAGCGATGGATATTTCCTGCGTATGGAAGCTTGGTCCCCGGCAACCGCCAATCCCCATATGCCGTCCAACCCCGCCAGTAGGGCCGGCGGACTATGCATAGTCTGACATTGTTGTAGGTTATTGCGAAATAACGCCATGCCGTCAAGATCTGTAGATCGTCTGCTCGTCTCACCCGCCTCCTTTCCAGCCTCCAGCCACCCCTACGTAACATTTTGACATGTAACCACGTAACCATGCGACTCGGCCGAACAGATCAGACAATCCGAGGAGCCTGGAAGACAAACAAGACAACGGCGGTGACTGAAGACTCGAAGATTAATAACAAAATGTTGAAACTGTGGTAAACATTGGAAACACAAATAAAATAAAAATTACAGGTACAGGTACAGGTACACATCCGACGGGCCAACCTGCCCAACGTGGCCCACCACATCCGACACCACGAACCGGCATAGTCCGGAAAAGACAAAAAGACCAGAAAGCCAAGTCCGGATCGCCGAGTTTCAGCGTCCCACCAATCACGGCTCCCCAACGCTCCCAGCGAACGAGAGAATCGCGCGCGCCACCCACCTCATAGGTACAGAAGGCGTGGCTAGCCACCCCGAGGTGATTTTCGGATGCGAACCGACTAAGTGTAAAATGGAAATGGTAAGGAAAGGAAAAAAATCAACCCGGGACCTGACACAGTGGGGATCTCTCTTGTACACCGCGTATGTCCGTCTACAACCTACCCAACTAGGCTATTTCGTGAAATACTTCGCACTATAAGATATTAGATATTCATCAGCCCTCCGCGGAAATATCATCACCGTCCCGTGGACCTGGGATTGTCTGCACTGGGAAAGTCATTACCCCCCTTGGCTCGGCCGCGTAATTGGCGTTCGCACCCCGATGGGAATAGTCGAAAATCAAAAAATCAAAAAATCAAAAAAAAGAGAGTAATATTATTAAATGATACCTGACTAAGATACTCGATCCTGCGAGAGTAAATTTCACCGTAATTTTTGCTATTAATATTTCCCGGGTTCGACATCTCCATGTGATTGCTCGTACCAAAGGATGCAGCCGCCGACCGCGGAACGCCGGTTGCAGTTGAGTAATACCCTTTAAGCGAACATGGAATGCAGGCCCTGGCCATCATGGCTGCCTGAAAGGTGCATGCAGACCACGGATGGCTGGGTCAGTAGTCCTTGAATAGGTGAGCAGGGGCGAGACATTTTCCTTGTTCAGTCTTGGACAACCTGCCATCTTTTCGTGAATTTGAGACTGAGAGAGTCGTGTGGCGGAAAGGCAAATTTGGAGTCGTTTGGAATACACCACAATTATTACGGCCATACCGCACTTTCCCGTACACACCGTTTTCTCTCCATGATTTAATGAATTAATGGTTTGATGTTTCAATTTTTATTCCCATCCGGGCGTATGGCTCGTAGAAAGATCCAGGAACGGCTCAATTTCAAGCCTAGGAATCCAGTGCATCCTCGGCAGAACCGCCCAGTCGTAGCCCCTGACAGGGTGTCGATCGCGCGAGCCGTCTCGGAGCGCGTATCGGGCAGGAAATAGGCATCCTAGTTACATGAGGACAGAGTAGCAATTTCTCAATTTCTAGCCTTTGACCTTTCGCTGAGAATTGAGTACCCCAAAGCCGAACCCGAGAAACGATGTGTACTTTGAATTTCACTCTCTGGTGGAGCCCCATCTCGTGTCGCGGTGCGAGTGTCAGGGGTGTGAATGGGGTGGGTGGATTGCCCCTCCATTTGGAGTCAGATTAAGCATATCTGTGTGTCCCATAACTATTTCTCCGTTGCATCCATGTCCGGTGCCCACTGGTGGTGGGGACTTGGTGTGGTGGATCTACAGGATTCGGGGGGATCCCAGCGGCGGAGTGGTACTGGGTACGTTGCGGCGTAGTCTGTCTCAGAGGTTGGTATGCGGCGGTGGGGGTTCCCTTGTACGGATGACACTGGTGATTTTTGTTGGCTCTGCTGGTATCCTAGTCGGTTGGTTGGTCCTGGTTACTCGATGCGCTGAGTCGGAATTGCGAATTTCACGCCGTCGTCGAGGTACCCAATACATAAGCACTGGCGAACAGGGGGGCTGTGATCGACCACGCTTGTTCCCTGCAGTCGGCGGGTTGTAGATGATCTGATTAGAATGTTTTCTTTTTTAGTTATTTACAAATATCTTTCGGTCTTTGAATCTTTTGTTTTCGGGATATCCTAACCAGCTGTATTTCGCTGGGGTGCAAGCTATATATCGTAGCTAGCCCTAGTTACCAATTCAACCAAACCACACCCACCCACTTTCCACCTCGTACAGAAATAGCACAGATACCTTGGTATGTCTTAAAAACAACACTTTGAGGTTTCCAACAACAAATACACATTCCATTCCTTCTCCATTTTACTCCACCTCTCCACATCTCCCCGTGCCGACGGCATAAATGAACTACGATATGCATCCGGGGCCGGTGGAGCCCTGGAGACATGGAGTCCACAGCTCCATCACGGGAACCACACCCACTATAACCCAATTTTGAGGTACGATGGGGCACTGGGTCTGGTTCCAGAATCCATCTTATCAAGTGGTCCATCGATGGAAGATGTCAAGCCGACCGTGCATCGTGGTCAACTCCATGCCGCGGGCCCACGATCGCAATCAAGATGTTGAGCTGGACACGAAAGTGGGAGATAAGATCCATCGCAGGATCAATGGGTTCATACAGAGTGCGGAGTTCACAGATGCTTTTTGTAGTAAGTCCTGGTGATCAAATATAGTGGCATATCCAGCCTCATGTACACGAAATCATTAGAGCTATGGTACACAGTACCCGCAAAGAAGAGAAACCCATAACTCCCCTAATCCAACCTATTGAACTCATGCGGCAGTACAGCCCAAGACTATACATCCGTCGCCTTACTTGAAACAGTCTCCTGCTCCGTATCCCTGTGTTCCTCAGGCTCGATCCCGTCAACAGGAACCGCATGGATGGCATGCATCACATTGACAACCGGACCCGTAAACCACTTCCGAGCATCAACAATCCACCAAATCGTCACAGCAAGCATCGGGCCACCCCAAACAAGACAAGTCCAGTTCATCAGATCCGGGGTCAAATCACCCTTGGTAACACTGGGCAGACACAAGATTGGGACCATGAGAAGAACAAACAAAACGCCGACTCCTCCGATCCAAGGACTGAGCGCACCCAAGTGCCAAGGACCCCGACGGAAGCGGTCTCCGACGAAGAATACACGGATCGCGATGGGGATGGCGAAGGCCACGAATTGAGCGATGGCGCCAATAGAGAACAGAGCGCCGATAGCGGTTGTTCCGGCCAGAATGAGCAGACACATGAAAACACCCAGGACGCCATTCAAGATGACTGCGTTGACAGGGGTGGAGGTAGTCTTATTGACCTTCTTCCAGATTCTCGAGTACGGGAAGCAGTCGTCACGCGCATAAGCGTACGTGACTCGCGACGCAGCAACCATACATCCCTGACCCATGGAAAACCCACAGATAATAGTCAGACCGAGAATGCCCAGCGCGGCTTTTTGAGAAAGGACCTGGAGGAGGTATGAAGCCCAGGGCTGACCGAGGTCGGAGTCAATGACGGCGCTGATATCGGTGACTGTGTATGCGACGACGAGCTGGAGGAACCAGCCCATTACGCCGCCGACGCCGGATGTCATGACGATTGCGCGAGGCGAGGCGACACTTGCGTTGGAGCACTCTTCTGATAGATGGAAGGGGAGTCGTAGCCTGACATTGTCCAGATGACACCGACAAAAGTCATGAGCACGGCGATTCCATTTGGGTAGTCTGTTTGGTTGGTGATTGTGTTCCAGACTTCGTGGGAGGGATTGAATTTGGGTTTGTTGGTTGTTGCAGCTGGGATGACGATGAGGGTTGCGACGAGTGCGATGATGTTGAATGTCGAGCCGTAGGAGTTGAATTGGGCGACGCGCTTGGTCGGAAGACTGCTAATTACCGAGTGTATGATGATGATGAGTGTTGTCAGGAGGAAGATCTGCCAGTTCGTTGGGACGTAGCTTGGGTTGGTGATCGAAACGGCGGCTAGGATCATTGCTGATAGAGCGTAATCCACGGATGGTGCGCCAGTGATTTGTCCAATCCAGTTGGACCAACCTGTCAACCAAGCAGCTAGCGGACCATATCCTGGAGGCGCGAGTACGGCGGCGGCGTAATAGAGACCTCCACTGAAAAGAGATATCGGATTAGCCTCTGTGTTGAAAGATGCTGGCAATGAATTGGTCAGGGCTCGTACCTGGTAGGCATCGCGGAGCACAGCTCAGCCATTGCCATTGCAATACATTGAATGGGAATCATGGCAATAATCCAACCCCAGACCATACCCGCGGTACCAGCATATCCCATTCCTTCCCAGAGTCAGTGCGGTGCATCACAGGATGAATTGGAAGGGCACTCACCATAGTAGAGAGTACTCGCAAAGGACGGCAAAAGACCGAGCACTGCAAAACTGACACAGAAGGTCGTCCACAAGGAGAATTCACGTTTGAATTCCTGTTTATAACCCAGGGCCATAATCACCCGCTCATCGGCATCCATCTCATGATCCGTATATGGCACGTCGCCATCCCGGAGAATGGACGTGACAGGCGCATGGCTGTCACCATAAATATGGCTCTTGGAGCTTTTGGAGGTTCCAGAATCTGTTGTTTTGACTTCCATCCTTATGCTATGACCATTCGAGGGGGGTATGAAGTTGATATAGAAAAAAGCAAGGAGACGGATCTGAAGACAAGGTAGGAAGGGTCAAGGAACAGCTTCCACTCTAGACTTGAGATAGGCTTTAGATTGGTCAAAATAGCGCAAGATCTCACCCAGGGCGAGATGTCTGATTTAAACAAGCCATCGTTTCACAGGGGAAGGGATGAGCGGACCGCTCGAAAAGAGTTATCTACACGGCACCTCATTGAGCCCCCGCAATGACGATAGAACAGTGAGCTTCACCAGTGAACATCTTTAGCTGAACCAAGCAACGACCTATCTGATGTTGGTGGGCCTCCCGAACGGCGCTAGAAAGAAGCCGGGAGGGGGCCTCAGATACCGGGGAGGGGGCTTCCACTTCATCTCCGCATGTACGGACATGATAACGGGCCAAATCACGACAGTCATATTCATGATTTATGAGATAACCTTTATACGACGCTTCGGTTGCGTGGAATCGCCCGTTTGATTCGCGCGTTTTCGATCAGCGCCGCATGACTTCTCCGCACGGAAGGTCCTGTGATTCGTAGAAAGGGTGACTCGGATGCCGTCAAAGATCGAGACGTGGGATCCGTGCTACCCCGGCGAGCTTGGCAAGGGAGCTTCCATACCCATCAGGGAAGTTTCAGGCGTCGAGAGTCTGGGAGGCGAAGGCGTTGGTCTTATCGGTGGTGATGTAGATAGTAGAGATAAGCCCGAGCCTCCGTGCGCGATGATTCCCAGTTCCCAATTACTAGATGAATTCAGGCTTATCGGCATGGGCTGGACCTGCCAGGAAGGGTGAAGCGCGGCCCTGTTTGACGATTTGACCAGCTGCGTGGCGCTCGATACGCCCCTACCCTATCTATAGAGCTCGACCATGTTGCTACCCTAGTCTCTACCGCTACCAGTGGTTCATGCATGAACCATTCACGAAAGAGATCAGCCCAGATGTGGTTGGAAACGGTTGCTTCTATGTGCTATTCAAAACATAAAAGACCTCTATTCTACACTCGGGAACCCCTCATCTCCAATGTCGGGGCGTCCGACATTGCCGTCCAGGTATACACGCTAGGATCATTTAGAAGGGCTGATGTAGTGTTAGCATGGGCTCCCCAACAGGCCATAGGGCTTGACTTACGTTGTCCTCAGGGGCAACGGGGTTGTCGTAGTACGCATCCAGGAAGGGGATCTGGCGGATGACATCGCGGTTGAAACGGGGGATATCGCCGAAGAAGAACACGACAAAGGTACCGGCGGCGACACCGAAGCTACCAGCAATGGTACCACTAGCAGGGAATTTAGTACAAGAGCGCTGGACAAGACCGTGGAGAGGCCCGTGATGCTGTTGGGGGTCGACTTACGCCTTGACAGCGGAAGGGAGAGTGAAGCCTGCGACAGAGCGCTGGAGATGAATCCTGTAGCAAGGCGCACTGGTCAGCTTGACGTTCTAATAACATAGCCCAGTCATGTCAGATTGAAATATCCCGGAAGACTTGATATTTCGCACTCCCCGAGATCCCCGAATTCCACATGCTGAGCTGGGCTCAACCATGTCATAGATAGGACCACAGGGTCGAGCAGCCACATCAAGCCTCCGGATCCGACACAAGAAGGCCCTTCCAGTCGACCGAGGTCTTGTCTCATGGGTCCATCTTGCATATTATGACGGAGTTGAAGGGTCGTGGTCCGGGGAAGGCTCACTTGGGGCCAAAGGCAGAGGGGGCCTGAGCCGCGGCGCGGCGGAGAGTAGGAGTGAAGACCTATCAAGATAAAAGAGACATTGTTAGTTGGTCGTTCATTCATCGTCTTTTGCGTATTCCGCGGTCATCCCATGTGACCTGGTGGCCGGCTATCCGTGACGCGATGGCACAACCGGATACCAAACCACGATGGAGCAGGAGCGACAGTTCTGAAAACAGGGATACGGTCTTGTGAATTGCAATGGCGGTTTATTGAACGTACCATTTTTGTCAGCGAGGGCAGGTCGTGGGACAATTGCTCGAGAGAGGGAGTCGAGCTGTGGCAGCGTGGTCGACGAAAACCGGGTGCGCCCGAACTCACAGCCAATCAGCGACGGCTATGTTTCCCCTCACGTGACACGAAAACCTGGAGCCAATCAGCGAGTGGCAATTACTTCAATTGACAGGCGCATACAGTTGAAGTATAGAATGAGTGCGGTGGGCAATGTACAGAAAGTAATAGGAAATTAAATGTGTCTAAAATGTTGATTCAAACTAGAAATAAAACAAGGAAACAGGAAACGTGGAGGTATGTGCTTCAAAGCTCCAGCTTTCAGAATGCAGAGACCAATGAACCCGTAAAGACAACCTGGGATCAATCAAATACAATCGAATAGGGAAAAATTATAACAACCGTGTAGCCAAACACCTGATCTGTACATGCGTCTCATTAGTCGACCTTTCCAGTCGAGCCCCCGTTCAACAGTCCTTCCTTGCCATCCAGGTGGAAGAAGCCTCCGCCATTGGGCGAGTTTCCTAGAATGCCACCGCGGCCAACACCGCGACGCAGCAACCGTCCGCGACCGAAGATGGCGGCCACAGCCACTGTCAGCCCCAGAAGAATGAAGAAGAGGATAGGGTGAGCGTTGAGGAAAGAACGGGTGAAGAAGAAGAATGTCTCGATGGTGCCCACAGTGGACTTGGGAGACAGCTTGGGAGGGGAAGAGACGACCAGGGGAATGGTCTCAAGAATGGAGGTACGCGAGGCCATGATCGTGGCCCCACTCGAGGCAGTATCCCAGTAGCGGCGGTTCTGTTATAGGTTAGTTCGAATGCTAACGTAGGTTGGAGACAAATAGAAACCTACATCTTCATCGTTGATGATCACACGATCACCGTTCTCAACATCGATACCATAGGTGGTACGAACCCAGCGCTCCCAGAAGTCGCCATCTACCCAGGCAAAGCCAACGGCCTTCTTGTCATCCTCACGAATGGTGATGCGCATATTCTTGGCAGCCCGCAGAGCGCGCTGGTCATCGCGGTCATCAGCTTCTTCAATACGCAGCTGCTTGGCATCACGGAGTTCAGATCGCTCAAGACGGAAAAGTTGAATCTGCTTGTCCATCCACTCAAAGGCGGCTTCCTTTAATTCACGCTTGGACTGCTTGAAATCGTCGGAACGGCGGCGGCTAAGAATGCCGAGAACAACAAACTTTCCATCCATGATCTCCCGAGCGTTCGAAGCGGTAAGCTCAGGAAGAATCGGGAGCCACACAGTCTGCATCCACGATAAGACTTGTCGGAAGTCTCTCATGTCCTTGGGAGCAAGAGCATTGTAGTAGTTGGGCCGTCCTTCGCGGACCACCAGGAGACGTGGCCAGGTGGAAATCTTGAAGCGCTCGGCCAAAGCGGCACTGCTGGTCTTGACAATGCGAGCATGCCCCACCAAGCTAAGAGTGAGCCGTTCCATCGCCTTGAAGTCCTCGGAGGTGGTTGCCTGGTCATAGAAGTACAAGAAGAGAACCTCCTCGGTCTCTTCTAATTCCATAAAAGTATGCGCATCCACATCCTCAATGCTAGAGCCAACACCAATTGCCTTGTTCGTGTACGAAAGCAAATCTCCAAGACCACGCAGACCAGTGTACTCCACTCTCTGGCCGCCCCGGAAGAAGTAGATGGTGGGGAAAGCATCAACCCGCGCGTCCTGGCAAAGGCGACTTTCGACCTCACAATTCACCTCACCGATGTTCAGGGTGTCCTTCATTTCCTTGGCCATCTCCTTCCAGTTAGGAGCCATCGCCTGACAGTGGGCGCACCACGGTGCGTAAAACTTGATGAACCATGAGTCCTGGGTGGTTGTCACAAGCTTCTGGAAGCTCTCGGCAGTAAGGGGAACAGAAATACCCTGAGGGTTGGCGGGGGCGGGCGGTGGCTTGGTCTTGGTCTTGGAGTTCGTGTTGTCCTTGGCTGCGGCTCCATCGCCTGCCTTCTGGGCGACTAACTCATTTTGCTTCTCGCCTGCCTTGATACCCGCCTCAGAGTCCTTGTCTTTGGCAACAGGGGAATCGGGCTCCGCGGTTGAGTCGACGCCTGGTGCGCCAACTTCGGGAAGCTTGACGCCCTGCGGGGGTCGAGATCCAGGCTTGATCGACTCGAGCTTCTCTTCGATGAGTTTGCTTAGAGCCGGAATGAACTGCGTACCGACAATCGGATCCTTTTGAACCCCATTATCGTAGAAGGCGAATGTGGGCCAACTGGAGACGCCGAGTTTCACGCAAAGGTCAGCATAGGCTAAACAGTTGATGGATCCGAAATGGAAGTTATAATAGGCAGTGAACCCGTTCGCAGACTTCGGGTCTGGGGACTTTGCGGAAGAAGGTGCCAAGGGATTGGAGGTCTATTACTCGCGAATTAGTACTGATTTCCGCTGCAATTCAACATCTGGGGTCACGCACGTAGTAGTATTCGTATGCAGTCTGGTAGTAAGGTGCGGCCTGTTTGCAGTGATGGCAGGACGGCGAATAATGTTTCACAATCCTGGGACGGTCAGCATGTGTTATTCCAGTGGGGGGTTGCATAGAACTGACCAAGTACCATCCTTGGTGGCCTCCTCGAAATTCTCGGGGGTCAGCTGAAACAGCGGAGGCACGTCGAGGCCGTTGAACACCGAGGGAACCTCCGGATCAACTGCATAGGTGCCCCATCTCTTCATGAGATTGTTGCCTTCTTTCAACTCCGAGTCCGAAGTCGCGGCCAATGTAGGCACGGCTAAGAATGAGAGGAGGGACCACCCCAACCAAGAAGCCTTCATTGTGGCGATTGTAGTAGACAAGAAAGTGTGAATGTCGGGAAAAAAAGTATAGAGGGGCCTGCGAGGGCCAGAACCGAAGGTAAACGAGGGACGCTGGTCGAAGGGGGTATGCGAAATATCACAGGTGGCACATTGGATCTGGGGGGCGAAAACTGGCTCAGTGAAGTTGAACAGCCAGTTGCTAAGGATCAACGGGAAGGACCAATCCCGAAGCCTTATAAGACAGCAGCAAACCACACTCTGTCTGGAAGATTGAGACTTTGCGCTCGCGTGTAGATGAGAAGACCAACGAATGTGGCTGCCCCTGCCTGTCTATTGGGGGTGGAACGGCGAGTTAATCCGATCCGGTCCGACTTCAACTTCCCGCTCTCCCTGACCTTAGTAAGTGTTGCGCCCACATATCTACAACCCTGCCAACCCTCAAAATGCGTCCTGCACTCCGGCTTCTGGCCAATGCTAAGCCCCGGTACCTGGAGCCTTTCGCTCCTACCGGATTGACCGGCCTCAACACCCACCCGAGCCCCCGTCCGACTTTGATCTACTTGTACACATCCACCCTTCAGAAGTTGCAGGCTTTCCCCGAGAACTCCGCCTACCGCAAGTCCGTCGAGGCTCTTAGCCGCCACCGTCTTCAAATTGTTGAGGCGCACAAGCCCGCCGGCTTCGATGTCTGGCTTGAGCGGGTGAAGAAGACCGTTGGTGCCGAGCCCGAGCGCTTTGCTCAGCTCCAGCGCCCTGACGGCTCTTTCACCTTTGTCGCTAAGCAGGAGGCTGATTTCACGGATAACCCTCGCGGCATGGAATGGGATGGCGAGAAGATCACCCCGGGAACCGAGGGCCCTGCCCGTACCCCGCAAGAATCCGCCGAGTGGCACAAGATCATGGAGGAAGCTACCACAACATCCGACAAGTCCGAAGCTGATCACCATGAGCTTTCTATGAAGTGGGAGAACGAGCCTGCTCTGAACGCCGACCAGTAAGTCGACATTTCCCCGGGGGCTACAACAGAAAGGTTAACACTCGACATAGAATCTCTGCCATTGAGAACGAGATCGGCGCCGGTCTTATTGAGGAGGTCATTCAGGTTGCTGAGCACGAGCACGAGCTCGTTAACGAGATGCACAAGAATACGGTGTGAGTAAATCTCGAGATTTATAGCTAATATCCAGACTGCTGACGCGATTACAGTTGGGAGGAGTTGGAGGAGAAGCCCGCTCCTGGCCAGTGGTCTTACTTTGAGCGCGGTAACTAAAGATAAGTCGGAAAAGGCTAGATGCCAATTTCTGTAACTATTAGAAGACGGGTTGTTCGAATAAATTTCTTTACGGTTTCAATCCGTTTCCTGTCTCGCCTTTCTTCTTCAGAGATAGGTATATCCCTTACGTCTACTGGGCATTTGAATATCTACATTGGCTCTTTTGTACTGTCTCAATCGCGTACACTTATGGTACGTCCATAGCTGGATCTAGATCTAGAAGTAGAGTCGGATGCTTATCGGCCTTGCAAATCTCCAAGAAAACAATATTTTTCTCATCCAATCCGATTTTTCCTTCCTGGAATATAGGAAGCGGACTGTCTCCTAACTCTTCATAGTTAGCACGATTGCATTGTCGTTCGGTGGATCGACTCCTCAACTGCGTAACTGAGACGCGGGTGCCTCAAGGGAAGGCGGTGAGTGTCGGCGGGAATCCCTTGTGGACACATACATTGTCCCTGAACGGCCTCCAGCTCTCTTCCAGCAGGGAAATTTCTGTGATTCTTGTTTTATTCCAAGCTGATCCAAAGGATCGTTCGTCCCACAACTCTTGGGCTGTCTGAGCGGCTCGCGGAAACCCCCCTCGCTCTCACAGGCCCGAAGCCGCATCACACAAACACTCGTCTCATCCCCCACACACCATGCGGCTCGACGTTAAGGTACGCAGACCTCCCTTGAGCAATGGGATTTGCTTCCCGCAAGCTCGGCGATATCATTGCAGATGAACATTAGCGGAATTGGGGTGATTGCTGACAGGAATGGCGTTCAACAGAGGCAGCTCTTTGCCCGCTCGGAGCGGGTAAAGGGTATTGATTTCCACCCCACGGAGCCATGGGTAAGCTTTTATAATAGTACTCAGGTTGACTTGACCATGCTGATGATGCTTTAGATCTTGACAACCTTGTACAGTGGTATGTCCGCGCAGAGGTAGCCCCCGCGACACGCCCCAGCTGCTAACCTCTCACCGGCAACAGGTCACGTCTACATTTGGTCATATGAGACGCAGGTATGTCGGGGATGGCCTTTCTGGCCCTGAACATCCAGAACTAACGCTCCATGTCCACAGTCCATCATCAAGACGTTCGAACTTACAGATGTCCCCGTTCGCGCCGGTCGATTCATTGCGCGGAAGAACTGGATTGTTTGCGGTTCAGATGACTTCCAGCTCCGTGTCTACAACTACAATACCTCCGAAAAGATTACCTCCTTCGAAGCACACCCCGACTACATTCGTTCAATTTGCGTCCACCCGACCCAACCATTCGTCCTCACCGCAAGTGATGACATGACAATTAAGCTGTGGGATTGGGAGAAGGGTTGGAAGTGTGTTCAGGTCTTCGAGGGCCACAGTCACTATGTGATGGGCATGTCTATCAACCCCAAGGATACCAACACTTTTGCTTCGGCGTGTCTGGACCGGACGGTCAAGATCTGGAACCTTGGCTCTTCTCACGCCAACTTCACTCTGGAGGCCCACGAGACCAAGGGTGTCAACCACGTCGATTACTACCCTCACGCTGATAAGCCGTACCTCCTCACAACCTCGGATGATAAGACTGTCAAGGTAAGAAAGATTTTGCCTCTTGTGGCGACCTCCTGGATACTAACGCATAGCAGATCTGGGATTACACCACCAAGGCGCTCATTGCCACTCTCGAGGGCCACACCAGCAACGTCTCGGTAAGTTACTGACATACTGATCATCTATATTAAGTAGTATTTGCTGATTCAATTTTCCCAGTTTGCGTGTTACCACCCTGCGCTTCCTGTGATTATCAGTGGTTCCGAAGATGGCACGGTCAAGATTTGGCATGCCAATACCTACCGGTTGGAGCAGTCACTAAGCTATGGCCTGGAGCGGGCATGGTGTGTTTCTTACCAGCGTGGTGGACAAGGAATCGCAGTTGGTTTCGATGATGGTGCTGTTGTTGTGAAGATGGGCCGGGAAGAGCCTGCCGTTTCAATGGACGGATCTGGCAAGCTCATCTGGGCCAAGCACAGTGAGATCGTTTCATCAGTCATCAAGGGCGGTGATGCCAGCGTGAAGGACGGCGAGCCTCTCTCTTTGCCCACTAAGGACTTGGGTACCTGCGAGGTCTACCCGCAAACCCTTACTCACTCACCCAATGGACGCTTCGTCTCTGTCTGCGGCGATGGTGAGTACATTATCTATACCGCTTTGGCTTGGAGAAACAAAGCCTTCGGTCAGGCTTTGGATTTCGCTTGGGGCTCCAAGGATAACAGCAACGATTACGCTATTCGCGAGTCCGCCACGAGTGTCAAGATCTTTAAGAACTTCAAGGAACAGAGCGGTGGCCTTGATGTTGGATTCCAAGCAGAGGGTCTGACTGATGGTGTTCTCCTTGGTGTTAAGGGCCAAGGTGGTATTGGTCTGTTTGACTGGGAGAGCGGCTCGCTAGTCCGCAGAATTGAGGTTGATCCTAAGAATGTGAGTTGTACTAATCACAGGCTTTGCCGGGATCGATGACTGACTGTTCTCTGTAGGTTTACTGGTCCGAGTCCGGAGAGTTGGTCGCACTTGCTTGCGAGGATGACTTCTACGTCCTCCGCTACTCTCGCGAGAACTACATCAATGGGCTGAACAACGGCGAGGCTGACGAGGATGGCGTCGAGGCAGCCATCGAGCACGTTGCCACCATTAACGAGTCTGTCCGGACCGGTGAGTGGGTTGGTGATTGCTTCATCTACACTAACTCCACCAACCGCCTGAACTATCTTGTCGGCGATCAAACCTACACCATCTCCCACTTCGACCAACCCATGTACTGCATTGGCTATATTCCCCGTGATGGTAGGATGTACGTGGCCGACAAGGACGTCAATGTCGTCTCTTTCGGCTTGTCTCTCAATATGGTCGAGTACCAGACCGTTGTCCTGCGTGGCGACATGGATATGGCCGCTGAGCTACTTCGTGACGTGCCCCAAGATCAAATGAACAAGATCGCACGATTCCTCGAGGGACAAGGCTACAAAGAAATGGCGCTTGAGGTCGCCACAGACCCAGAGCATCGCTTTGACCTGGCTTTGTCGCTGAACGACCTCGAGACTGCCCACCAGATTGCCCGCGAGGCTAACGCGGAGCACCGCTGGAAGCAGGTCGGTGACGCCGCCTTAGCCGGCTGGAACCTCGCCCTGGCCCAGGAGTGCTTCACCAACGCCAAGGACGTTGGATCCCTGCTTCTCCTGCACACCGCCAGCGGCAACCGAGCAGGCCTCAAGGCGCTTGCTACCCAGGCCTCCGAGTCTGGCCTGCACAACGTCGCCTTCTCCACTCTCTGGTCTTTGGGTGATGTCGATGGCTGCATCGACCTTCTCGTTGCGACTAACCGTATCGGAGAGGCCGTCCTCTTCGCCCAGACTTACAAGCCCTCCCGTGCTCCCGAACTGGTCGTCCAGTGGAAGAGCTCTCTTGAGGGAGTCGGCAAGACCAAGGTCTCCCGCCTGATCGGTGTTCCTCCCGGCGCCCCTGACATCGTCTCCACCGACGACGACCTCTTCCCAGAGTGGGATGAGTACATCCGCATGGAGAAGGAGGGCGTTGTGCCCGAACCCCCGTCCTCCGAGTCTCTGATCGACATCGACGGCGACAAAGAGCCCGCATCTGCAACCAACGGTGGCCCCGAGACCGAGGCCGAGGTTGAAGCCGAAGAGGAAGAGGAAGAGGAGGAAGAAGAGGACGCCGTGGCCGAAATTGACGCGGCCGCGGCCGCCGAGGCGGAGTAAAAGAGCAGACTGATCGGGTTGTATTGAGTACATGCTCGGAGATGCGTGGATAGAGCATTTGATTTCCGATTGACGAGTCGGCTGATTTGAATTGCGAGCGGCGTCTTAACGTGTGTCCGACTTATTTTCTTTTTGTTTTCTTAGTGCTGTAATTCCCTTGCGACATGTCTCGATCTTGGGGATGTCTGAGATTGGGTGATAGATACAATGACAAGGAGCTGTTCTATTTCATTTGATACTGTGTAGTGATGATAGAACACACGAGAAGCCTGGGGGGGGTTCTTTTGTGAGATTTGCTTGCATGTAGGACTTCTACCTGGTCACCACAAGAGCTCAAAACCTTATTACCCCGGCTCCCCTTGATGATCTGGTCGGTTCTCAAGTCTCCTCGGATTCATTTCTGAAATTACGGTCTGACGATAATAAGAAGTCTTTAGAGAAAGTATGGTTGGCATTGTCCATTTGCTTTTTTTTTGTCAAGGATACAGAGAGTGAACACCTCGCACCCGAAACCGAGCGGATACGACGAAAAAGATACCTAGGTAAGAGACAGGCAAAGACCGCTTGAGACATCAAACGAAAACAAGGGTTGAAAGGAACCTGCCTGTCGGGTGGGTGTGGGGATGACGCTGAGATAGATGACCAGAAACAAATCAAAGCGCTCAATGGTAGGGGGTTGGAGAGAGAAAAAGAGACAAGACGACACACAACTGTAGTCTCGGGGGACTCCGAGACCGAAATGCCACGGACTCCTTGGGATGGGAAAAATTGGAAATGAAAACAAGGCAAGAAAGATGAAGATGATCAAGATTGTGATATGTGTGAATCAGGACAAACAGTACAAATGGAGATCGTCTCTATGAGCCTCTTCTCGCACATCATTCTCGATCTAGTTGAAAGCTACCCGGTGCAGGCCCTGCACTTACTCCGGGATGCTGCCAAACGACGGATCTTTGACACTGCCGCCTGCATCACCAAGTCCAGCAACCGGTCGGTTGTATGACCAGCCGGCGAACTGCTGCTGCATGGTTTGGGACAGAGCGGGGCCGTCAACGTACGAGTCCTGTGGAGCCTCGGAGGTGAACTCGCGGTCGAAGTTGTCTGTATCACGAGCATCCAGCTGGGAAACTCTGTTAGTTGCTGAATGAAGAAGTATAGGGAAGTAAGACATACCACGTTGGGACGGAAGCTGGGCTCGTACTTCCGCTGGAGAAGCTTGCGCCAGTCAATGTTGGCGAAGAAGTGGTGCGACTTGATCTCAGCAGCACCGTTGGCACCCAGACGGCGCTGGGGATCACGGTCCAGCAGACGGGTGAGAAGATCCCTGGCGGCCGGTGGTACAATGTCGCTACTTGGGAAGGTCAGAGGCTCCTGCAAGATCTTGCGGTACATCTCGTTGGTGTTCTCGTCATAGAATGGTGGTAAACCAGTCAGCATCTCATAGAGCAAGACGCCCAGCGTCCACCAATCCACGGACTTGGTATATCCGTTGCCGAGCAGCAGCTCGGGGGCAAGATACTCGGGAGTTCCGCAGAAAGCTGTAATTTGTCAGATGAGAGGAAATATTTGTGAAAGTTAACAAGGAGGATCTTACTATTTGTTCGGTCCTCATCCTTCATGTCCAGCTTGCAAAGACCGAAATCGCACAGAGCAATGTGACCAGTATAATCAAGGAGAATGTTCTCGGGCTTGAGATCACGATAGATGACCTTGAAACCATGAAGACACTCAAGTGCGCACAACAGCTCCGCGGTATAGAATCGAGCACGATTGATGTCGAATCGCTGCTCTTTTTGCAGGTGGTGGAACAACTCTCCGCCGTTAACGAAAGCCAGGACGAAATATAACTTTTCGGGCGACTGGAAAGAGAATTTCAAGGGGACGATGAAAGGGTTGTTGATCTGCGCCAGCACCGATCGCTCCGCGAGGGTATGTGTGACTTCGGATCGCGAGATAATGTGAGCCTTGCGGATGGTCTTGAGGGCGTAGATTCGACCGGTATCCTTCTTTATGACCTGCATGACCTTGCCGAAACTACCCTTGCCTACAACCTTCAGCAAGTCAAAGTCCTCCATCTTCAAGCTGCGCTGCCGGTTCTTGACGAAGGAAACACCAATCTTGATCGAGCCACCACCGAACTGGAGATCCAGCCATTCGGCACCTAGCTGACCCGCCTGGCGTTCTTGCTCCGCATGAGCGGCGGCGGCCTTTTGGTTATCCTTCTTGCTCAGCTTGGGGTCCTCAACGTACGGTTGAGCCTCCTCGAAACGAGGGTTCACCTTGGTCGCACCCAAGAAGATATCCTCGCTGCGACCAGCGCCAGGCCGGGCCGCAGGGTTGCGGAGGTAAAGCTGAACATTCAGTTCGGTCTTTCGAGACACATCAAACTTGAAAGCTGTGCTGTCACCCGCCCACAGGGGGTTTTCGGGAGAACCCGAGACGGCGTCAACGAAAACCTGGTTCTTTTCAAAATCGAGAAGTGCGTAGGGAAGGTATTTGGTGGAATAGCGGCCGTGGGTGGTGGGGGCAGCGTTGATGCCCCCGCTGGTGGACTGGGGCCGACCGGACTGCACAAAGGAGCCCGCTTGATGGGTGGAGTGTGACGAGGAGGAAGTGCTAGGACGCAATGAAGAGGGTGCGTAGGAATTGTTCTGGAAGTGAGAGTTGAAGATCTGCTGGAAATGAGGAGACAGGGCGAAGCCTTTGCCCTCGTGAAGGGTAACGATCAGAATGCCCGGCTGCACAGGGTTGACTGGGGGAGAGACAAGACACTCTGACGCGGCTGTTCAAAATAGAGTTAGTCACGGTGTCCCAGACACACGAGCCGTAGGAAATCCATACCGATGCCATTTGACGAGGCAGTCGGGGTAGAGGCGATACTGGGGGGTTGCGAGGCCACGGGTGTCTCAGCACCATCACCAGCGCCATTTGAATCGCCCTTGATGGTCGAGGTGGAAGAAGATCGGCCAAAGGAGTTCGTCAAGGGCGCCAGATGCGTCTCCTTGAGTTCTAGAGGAGTCAGAATTAGCCATTGCCCCGGAGGTCATCACCGCCTCATCTGCATAGGAGAGAGGGGCGGACAAAGGAGGGGGAGGGATCAGGGAGACCAACTGAACATACTTTTGGTGAGCTTCCAGGACATGATGGCGGACTCAGGGCCAGTGAGGGGTATCAAGGAGTTAAAGACAAGAAGTCGAAAAGTCCAAGATGCGATGCGTGTAGCAAAGACTGAACCACCAAGAAGTCAACATCGAAAGTTCCCAAAATAAGATCCGCGCCACGCAGTCCAGACCGTCGAAGCACCACCCTTACCTGAAATCGCACCGAAAGAGAATAAAATGAAGTACACCAGGGTCGAGGAGAATGAGTGACCCGGTTGTTCTGGTTGACAGGAGACGAAGAGGAGGGGGGGGGCAAGAGGAAGCCCGTGCCTGTGTAGATTACCCGACGGCCAGGGACGTATGTGACCAAAGTTACACACTTTAAGTCTCTGAAGTACTGGTAAATGGTATGTGACATACGAGAATACCAGCTGAGTCAGCACCACAGGGCAGGGGACCGCGCCACGGTGGATCTCGATTGAGGCAGTGCCGACTGTGGCTCCGTGAATGGTCGTCCAAGAGGCATTTCATATGCATTGGATCGATTTCCGGCTCGATTCTTCAGTTACTGTACTTACTGTACTTTTTATATGCACATTTGATTATTTTCGCACGCACCTCGGATTATCTCCCCACCCGATCGACGATCGATACCCCGGAGTCTCATCACACCTCACCACACCTCACCACACCTCACCTCACTTCTCCAAACCAGCATCGGTAATTGCCCTCTCAGACCTCTGGAGGGTGGTTTTGGGCGTTCGCGACGGCTTTGGACTCAGCGGAGGATGAACGGGACCAAAAACCGATGGGTGTAATACGCAAGAAGACCGCCTCGCGCGGCACCGAGGCTGGCACCAAGTTCCACTGCGACGTGTGCTCGGTTGATGTCACGTCTACTGTGAGCTTTCATCACTTTCCATCTATGGCAATCGACTAACCGAGGACTCGTGAAGGTTCGAATCTCCTGCGCTCATCCCTCCTGTCCTGAATACGACCTCTGCGTTCCCTGCTTCGCCAGCGGGGAAAGCTCCAAGAACCACGACCCGCAAAGCCATCCCTTCCAAGTCATCGAACAGAACTCTGTCCCGATCTTCCAGGGTGACTGGGGTGCCGATGAGGAATTACTTCTGCTCGAGGGAGCCGAGATCTACGGCCTTGGCTCCTGGGCCGATATCGCCGACCACATTGGCGGTTACCGCTCCAAGGACGAAGTGCGTGACCACTACATTGATACATATGTATACAGCTCCAATTTCCCCCTTCCCGACCATGCGGACCCGGATGACCACAGCCTTCAAGAAGAGATCTCGAAAGAAGAGTTCCAAACGCGTAAGAAGCGACGGATTGAGGAGCGCAAGGACGCCGCTAAGGCGGCTCCGCCCACAACACCCAAGCAGAAGCCTACTGCCAGTGTGCCGGCATGCCACGAAGTGCAGGGCTATATGCCCGGTCGATTGGAATTCGAGACTGAGTTCCTCAACGATGCGGAAGAAGCCGTCCAGCACATGACGTTCGAGCCCGGGGCGGGCATTAGTAGCAATGGCGAAATGGACGCGGAAGCAGAACTCAAGATGACTGTGGTGGATATTTATAACTCTCGACTCACAGCGCGCACAGAGCGCAAGAAGATTCTCTTCGAACACAATTTGTTGGAGTATCGAAAGAACACTGCGCTGGAGAAAAAGCGCTCCAAAGAAGAGCGAGAACTCCTTAATAAAGCGAAGCCGCTTGCACGAATGATGAGTTGTAATGACTTCGAGGAACTGAACAAGGGTCTCGAATATGAGCACAACCTTCGCCTAGCCATCTCACAACTCCAGGAGTGGCGACAAATGGGCATTGGTGACTTGAAAGCAGGCGAGAAATACGAGCAAGACAAGCAGTCGCGTGTGCAACGTATGTTGCCCCAAGGCTCGTTCGATCGTTTCGCCAGCGCTCGTCCCAACAAGACCCAGATCCCTGAAACGTCCGCCGCAGCTACCCAGCTCACGACCCCAGAGCTGCCCCTGCGGTTCCAGAAGGCTACCACAAACTCCAACCAGAATGATTCAGAGCCACTGAATGATTTTGACCGTGCTTTCGCCACAGAGGGCGACCAGGCACCCTCACAATCGAGCAAGGCGAAATATATTGTGCAGCCACTAAGCGGAGTACCAGCATGGAAGCTGGACACCGAGGACGCTGCCGATCTCCATCTCTTGACACAGGAGGAGGTTGAAGTGTGTAATGTGTTGCGCATAATGCCCAAGCCATATCTCGTGGTAAAGGAAACTTTGTTGAAAGAGGCAATGAAGCAGGGCGGCACCCTGAAGAAGAAGGATGCACGAGCGATCTGCAAGGTAAGCTCCAAATTTACCCTTTTAGTTGTGCTTTACTCATCCCGTCACAGATCGAGGGCACCAAAACCAGCCGCATTTACGATTTTATGGTGCATAGTGGGTGGATCAACAAAGGCTAGTGGCTGGGCTGGAGGGGGTTTTTTTCTCTACTAGTTGATATCCACATGTGTCTGCGATTGTACTCCAGCGTGTGATTTTCTGGCGTTAACAATGGGGAAGAAAGGGGTGTTGATTTGACCGTGTTCATATACTGAGCGTACTAGGAGGTGTACACCAACCTTGAACTTTGAAAATGATGAATCATGTGCAGATTTCCACATAAGTAAACCTAGAATGTAGATCGCGACAAGATGAATATCAGTAAAACACCCCAAAGTATGTATTTTGAAAAAAACCGAATACTGAACTCGGCCGAGCTCTCCGCATCGGCCCTCGGCATCTCCAGCTCTCCCCGCGTTTCTAGAATCCCGAGTTCACCTACCTCCAGGGCTCATCTCAACGCCGATGAACTTGCATACAAACATATGTACAAAATTGCAAGTCTACCATCATAATAGACTCACCTAAACCGCAATGTCCAACTTCGCCACTCCACCCCCTCAACCGGAGGCCTCTCTCCTTTCCTTCCCAGCACCGCATGTTGTCCTCGTCACGCTCAACAGGCCCCGCGAGATGAATTGCATCAACGCACAAGGCCACGCCGATCTAGACGCAGTCTGGCAGTGGATGGACGAGGAGCCTAGTCTACGAGTCGGTATCTTGACCGGACAGGGGCGGGCGTTCTGCGCTGGCGCCGATTTGAAAGGTATCCACCATCTCACGAGCAAAAGTGTTCACCAGCTAAAACATGCCAGAATGGAACGCCAGCACCAGCGGCAATAAATCCCGTGCCCCAATGCCACCATCGGGCTTTGGTGGCCTGGCTAGACGAAAGGGCAAGAAGCCTGTCATCTGCGCTGTCAATGGGATGTGCTTTGGCGGTGGCGCTGAGATGATTATCAATAGTGACATTGTGATCGCTGCCTCGCGCGCTCTGATCGGGTTGCCGGAGGTTAAGCGTGGCGTTGTTGCGCTTGCGGGTGCATTGCCACGACTTGTTCGGACGGTGGGCAAGCAGCGTGCCATGGAGATGGTGTTGACGGGACGGTCGTTAAGTGCTGGGGAGGCGGAGAGGTGGGGGCTTGTGAACGAGGTTGTTAGTGTTGATGAGAAGGAGAAGGATGAGGTGATTTCTGCTGCGGTTGTGTCTAGCGCTCTTGCTGTTGCGAAGGAGATTGCAGGGAATAGTCCTGATTCGGTCTTGGTTAGTCGGGAGGGGGTGAAGTTGGGTTGGGAGGGGGTTGGTGCGGATGAGGCTACGGGGATGTTGAATGATACTTGGGTGAAGAGGTTATATGAGGGAGAGAATATCAAGGAGGGGTTGAGGGCTTTTGTGGAGAAGAGGAAGCCTGTCTGGGTGGATAGCAAGCTGTAAGATATCGTATCTGGTTTGTTGTTTAGAACTATCGAATGACTCCTTCGGATTTTTCACTGGAAGAGATTATAACAATGGGTCTACATCCATTCTAGATCGAAAAACCAGCCTCAAGAAGCGCGCACATCTTACTTTTGGATCATTGTCTCAAACACAAGCTTCAAGGCATCTAGGTCATATCGCATTCGCAGGATACTGGACTCCCAAACAGCAAGGTCAATTTTCACTAGCGCCGAACCAAGGCGTTTCAAGTCTAAATCAGCGGCTCATTAACTATGTGTCCGGCAAATCCAATTTCCAAATTCTAAACGCAGCCCTAGAAGTCTTCTCCGTTGACGGATTCTCTTGAAACACCCAAGGCTCCGAAGAGGCCCCAATCCGCTACTTCCTTCGCATCCATTAGACAGAACTTCAACTTAATTGCCGGGTCCATATTCTTCAGACACAGCGCCTCATATCCCAGGCAGTTGCTTTGGTATTGAGGACGTTGGCTATACGGCTTACGCTGGATGGGGTTCAGATGATGAATTTGTAGCGGAGAAGGAGAGGTGCGGAGAGTTAAGGAGGAGGACGTAAACGAAGACAAAGGAGATAAGTGATGGAGAAACGGGATATTGGGTTTGGGATAATTTGAATGAAGCCGTTGCGAGGTGTGTTTGTTTTCAGTGTTCGTGGAGTGTGAACGTGCTGTGGATGACGATGAGGATTATCTGTTTGTTTCCTTTGGAGTCGAAGGCTTGGTTTAGTTTTGAAGGGTGGGGTCATGCGTCCGTTGATTGAGGTATAGGGTACGGGCTTGTACAAAGAAGTTACGTAGAGGGAGTTGATGGTATACTTGCTTCGAGTTGTTGATGTCATCATATCCCAATGAAGATAAGAGCCAGGGGCTAGAACGGTATCGCCCAGGGGAGGGGAAGATCCGGTATAAGGAGCCGGCACGTTTTGTCCCGATGCTCGGCAATCCCATTTTGGGTTTGTATCTGATTTGAGAATCAACCATGCACGTTGGTGCACTAGGTGAGTTCCGAGGCTTTTCTTGAACGTGCATGTACTAGGTGGACTGGGAGTCACGGTGGGGAAGAACATGTGATGGTCAGTTGTTGAATAAGATAATATATTGAAACACTTGCTAGTCATAGCTATTCATACTACAGTCGTAAGTCATGCAAAAAGAAAACGCCCACGTCTGAAACACCCCGTATTCGCCATTCTATGCGACAGAACA